ATATATACACTCACTGGCCACTTTATTATGTACACCTTACTAGTTTCGAGTTGGACCCCTTTTTGCATTCAGAACTGCTTTAATCCTTCGTAACATAGATTCAGCAAGGTACTGGAAATCTTCCTCAGAGATTTTGGACCATATTGACATAAGAGCATCACACAGTTGCTGCAGATTTGCCAGCTGCGCATCTATGATGCAAATCTCCCGTTCCACCACATCTCAAAGGTGCTCTATTAGATTGAGAACTTGTGATGTGGAGGCCATTTGAGTGCAGTGAACTCATTGTCATGTTCAAGAAACCAGTCTTGTGCTATTGTGGCGATTGTGCTACCCACTGTGCCCCTACAATATATTCTATATTTTAAAATATATTTATTTTATTTTATAAGCAATGTAGAGATGTGTGCCATAAGCATAATCATCAAATAAATATTACTGAGAAACAGATGACTACAGTGCACAGCTAATTTCTTCACAATTGACCACAATCTCTGTCTCAGCAGTTTATAAGGATCACTTCCCTCAGGCCACATTCACTGCACTACAGTGCTTTCGTCATCGCACTCCCATTCATGACTTCTACAGAAGATGAATCACAAATCGAGGGAAATGTTAGTTCAGCGTGTCAAATCGTGAACTGAATAAAACAGAGGTCGTTTGAAAGTGAATTGCTGAAAGCGAAAGTAAGAAGTAGAAGATGTGGTAGAAGTAGAAAAGTAGATGATAGTAAATAAAAGCGCCCCATGGCCAGAAGAGGGCGGTCATCGGCAGAAGTTATTTTGTATCAATATCATATTACATGCGGATGAAGTGTGGATGAGGCATCGAGCGCTTCTCTCCGAGGTAAACAAGATGAGCTTTTTTGTACTTTTTAAAATGGGATTTCATTCATTTGTTTAGAGTACAGCCATTTTGGCGTCTTTGTTCAGGTGAAAACATGCTTTATTTTAAACTTTCAGTTTCTAGCCTATGTTATTAACCCAAAAACAACGTGAGCGCGCGAAATCTTGCAATCATTTACTGTATCAACAATATCTATAACGTATGCTGTTTAATTTTTAAAGCGAAAGTGGGTCAGCAGTTTACATTGCTGTGCATCACTCGATGAAACGACCATGTCTTTGTTCTGTTGTACTTCCCGCTTCTTCTTCATTTAATGGCGTGCGTGTTTTATAAGATGTCTCTTATCGGTTCGTACTAGTAAATGAGACACACTGTGTGATATTAACGATTAAACAAAAACTGACCACGTATGGAGGAAAAATGTGCGCCATAGCCGTTTATTGAGTGTAAACAAAGATGACTCATGATAGTAGTGGGGCTTCAAACTGGAAAGTCCCTTACAGATAATGCTAAGTGAGATGCACCATTCACAAACCACCGGGAATAGACCGCGGCATTGCAGCACCAGTCGATTATTAACTAATAAGAGCTGTTTGCAATTAACCAGCCTATTTGAAATTCATAACACAGAGCATGTGCTGTTAATAACAACTCATCTATGGGAGGGACTCATTTAAAGTCGACACACTTTCTTCAGCTCAACTCCACCCACGGATGCCTCAGAAACCACAGGCTCGTTTGTGGATTTTATTACACACTAGATACTGTATTTTCACTTGCATTATCTCACAAAACTATTGTATGGAATTGTTGGTTTTATTATCCATTTTGGTTTATGTATTATTGGAATCCCCCAAAATGTAAAATATTAGACTGAGGCAAAGCTGGTTTTATATTCGCACATTAACTTTCTCCTTAATGTAATTTGAATAAAAGGCATTCTTTGCTAATTATAAATGGGGAAATCATATTAGCTTCCAATGACTATCAAAGTGCACCATTGTTTACAGTAGTGCTAATGTTGTTTTAAAGTCATACTTCCATGTGATTTCAGATCGTATATTCAAACTAGCATGTCATAATTTAATGTGCTAATATAAAACCAACTTTACCTCAATAAATAGTATGTGCTGTATAGATTAGTTTAAGTTTTTTTCAAAAATGTTTTATCTTTTCATATGGGAAAAAGTGTTGGTATATAATCCCCTTTTCAAATAATGGTGTCATACATGCTAAAGGGGAAAGAACGAGCAAAGATCAGAAATTAACAAATTAACCTTAGGGACATTATGGGTAGGCCCACACGGAATCTGCACGCGCAGAATTCAGCAGATTTTCCGCAGATTTTTAGCCCATCATTAATTCTGTTTATTCACTTGAGTAAATGTGTAAGTCTGAATTTATTCAGTTTTTATTCAGTAATTTATTACTTTTTATTTCATATATTAAGGTTTTAGTTATGATACTCCGCTGGATACTCCCAAAATAATTCCACAGAAATCCGCAGATTTTTACCAAAATTCTCCGCAGAAATAGCAAAAAACGTCTGCAGATTCCATCTGGCCCTGCTCATGGGATTGATTTCCATGGCAATTTTTACCCACAAAATGGGCAGATTTTATGATTTTTATTTTAAATAATTGGGATAATTTAACCAAAAATGTGAAACTGGTGTTATCTTACTCACCCTCATGTCATCCTTTTTTTTATTCAGTACAATATTAGCTGAAACCTGGTCCTTTATTTTTCATAGAGTGCAACTCAATGGCCTTTTAAGCCAAAATAAAATTAGATACTCTTGGCTCATGACGATTTATTGATGTCTTAGGTGAAATCATTAGTATATGTACCTTTATTAATCAATATAAAAAATATGTAAACTAACAGTGTCAGCTCACAAGTAATTTTGCACCCATTTCCTACATATATCGAATGTTTTACTTTATAAAAACTCCTATGTATTGCTAAGAGCCATAGATATTAATTTTGTTAAGTCTATATGTTTTTTTTTTTTTTGTTTTGCTTATTTAGATGTTCAAAATGCTGGTAGCCATTGAATTGCATCTTATGAAGACCAAAGATCAAGTTACAGCAATATCTAATGTTCTACTGATAAAAACAGTTATCTTGGTTGTCATTTTAAAGATGTAGATCACCCAAAAAGCATAATTTTATTATAAGTTTCTCACCCTCGTGTCATTCATTCTTGTTTAGAGTACAAATTAGGATATTTTTGATGAAATTTGAGAGCTTCCTTATTCTCTGTAGACAGCAACAGTTCTGACTCTTTCAAAGTCATCTTCATCAGAAACATTTTCAAAACAGACCATGTGCCTTTAGTGGTTCAATAGCAATATTATCAAGCTATGAGAAGAAACTGTTGAATAAATGCATTGTTTTGGTTTTATATGCACACAAAAGTATTCTTGTAGCTTCATAATATTCACAGTGAACCACTTAAGGCACATGAACTGTTTTAAAGACACTTTTGTAAGTTTCTGGAAAGATTCAAGATCATTGCTGACTATGTAGGATGAGGGAGCTCTCTGATTTCATCTAACCTATCTTAATTTGTGTTCTGAAGATGAATGAAGGTCTCAGGGCATGGTAACAATGTGAGGGTGAGTAATTAATAACATATTTGTCATTTTGGGGTGAACTAACCCTTTAAAATGTTAAATGCTTGATTACAAACACGTTATAATACTGAAGCAGCTTCATTTTTGTTCTTGATTAAAATGATTTTTGATTTTGTTACAGCCTTAATGTTCTGATTTAAGATCAGTATCAAATCAAGCACACAAAAGGCAATGGATGGAGCAGTAGATGGCACCAAGCTCATTCAGAGACACAAGCTAGAGCTATTAGAAGCTCTGATTGAAGATCCAGACTTTCTTCTTCAGCATTGTCATGCTCGTGGCATACTATCAAACAATGAGTACAACAACATTAAAGACATTAACACACGCTCAAAACAGGCACGGGACATCTTGGATTATGTCATTCTCAAAGACAACAAGCATGCTCTGACTTTCCTGAAGTTGCTGAAAACACCAGAAATCCAAGAGACTTTTCCGAAACTACATTTCCTTCAAAATCTGCCAAACAACAAACGCAAAACGACAAAAAACACAGGTATGAGCTTAAATTGTCAGCTATGTTCTATAAATATTTATATATACTTGCTCAATTGTTTGATGTTGAAGGTTTAGATTTCTTTTGAAATTAATATTTAAATCCATAGTTATTTATATTTGACTTTTTCTTGCTCATAATTCGCATTATTGCAACATATGTTTTATCTTCATTCTTGATGGTCATTATCTAATGTGTTTTTTACTGTATTAAAGGAATAGTTTACCCAAAAATGAAAATGTACTCTTAGTTTTCTTACCCTGAAGTGGTTTGTTTCTTCTGTTGAACATTATATATGTTTTGAAGAAAGCTGAAAACTTATAACCATTGACTTCAATAGTAAAATAAAAACAAATACAATGGAAGTCAATGTATACAGATTTGCAGCTTTTTTTTAAACATCTTTTGTTTTCAATGACAGATGACAGAAACTCAAACAGGTTTGTAATAAGGGGGAGTAAATGATACCAGAAATTTCAGTTTTGGGTGAACTATCACTTTAAGGCCTGCTCACACTTAGCTATACAATAGCTATAGAAGTTTCCAAACTGATGCAAGTTCTGTTTATTATAAGCGTGTTACAGTTTTGTGGTCTCGCGCTTAAATTGTTAAAGAGGGATGGATTTTCATTTTGTCAATATTTTTAAAGTTCATAAACTGGAGAATTTTAAACTTGACTGAACACTCCACCATTTCTTTTTGAAAAGTGCTCATTTTACAAGTCTCCTAGAGTTAAAGAGTTGATTTGAACCATTTTGAAGGCATTTAGCCGATTTTCTATTCTAGCGGAGTCACTTTTTGCTTAGCTTAGCATAATGAATTGAATCGGATTAGACCATTAGCATTTCAAAATAAATAGTTTTGATCACTTTTTTATTTAAAGCTCTTTTGTAGTTATATTGTGAAATAAAACCAGTGGAAATGAAAAATTGCTATTTTCTAGGTCAGTATTATTTATTTATTTTTTATTATTAACAATTTTTTTATTATTAACAATTTTATTGGCTGATGAACATTCTAAGGTGTGCAGTTATTTTCAGATAAACACACAGCTTAAATAGTTCCATGCGACTATGCTGAATAATTTCAGCTATTTCACAGCCTACAGCAGTCAAAAAACTTCATAACCAAGCAGAAGGCTTTGAATGAGATGCATAAAACAAACTAGTCATACACACAGGAGCAGTTTAAGTACAAAAAACAGACAAATGTCCTCAAATACAACCTCCAAACAATGTCTTAGTGTTATAATTGACTCCAGTCCATTGAATTATGCAAAAATAATGCACATCACCTCAAGTGTGCCTTATTTACTGATAATTCATCAGTTATTCCTCACCTATTTTAATTTCATGTAATATTTAAGTTGTGAACAGGCCTTTACGGTAATAAACACTGTGTTTATTTCCTGAATTTATTGTGGAACAATTTTAGTTATCTATTGAATAAAGCGTAATTTAACAATTCTGTTGATTTATCAGAGACGACAGCAAAGCGAAGATCGCAAATGGAAAACGATGCACTGAAGGAGCAGCGCCGTGTAATCAGTGAGTCGCATGCAAAACACCTGCTTTGCATCTTGTGTAATGCTTTGGTGACTGAATGAATTTCTACATTACGTCACCTTACAGATTCCAGGATGGTGAGAGAGAGTGAGATGATGAAGGTGGCCGGCTGCATTGGAAACAACTGGAGACAGGTTGGCATAATGGCACTCGATATGACCACCACCACGCTTGAGCAGATAGAGGAGGACAACAAACTGCACAAAGAGCGGGTTTTCGCCATGCTGCGGAGGTGGAGCATGCGCGAGAGGGAAAAAGCCACACCTGCTCGTCTCTATTGCCTTCTAACACAAGAAGAGGAGAACGGCATCAACTCAGAAGATCTCAACTTCCTGATGGAAAACAACTGAGGACTTGATTTATGTAGCACTTTGAAAAACAAACCACTAGAGGGAGACATAACTGCTAGTCAGTTATTTTTTGTGTTTTGTTTTGTTGGTCAGCTTCTGGAAATGATTGGGAAACGTCCAAGCGCACTAAGCTATTATGCGGGTATTTGACTGCTCGTTTTTCCTAAAATCCGACCCCATTGTTTGTAGATTATTTGAAAATATGCTTAGATATTTAGCTTTGTTTTTTTAAAGGAGCAGGACTGAGTAAACAGTGTGAAGTTTTATTTCAATATATTTTTTTATGGCATTATTACATGTTAAGCTTATTTCCATGCAAAACATAGCACTTCAGTGTATACGTGCAGCTTTAAATTTTATCCTAATAATTTCAGGTGATACCGTAGCATTCCATCATGATACATTCTTAAAAACAATAATAATGCATTTGCTTTAAGTAAATGAATGTGAAAGCTTTTATCTTAAGTCTTAAAAACTTGAACCGATTCCATGAACAGATAAGGACGTCTGGTGTTTATGACAGAAGTTTTAGGTTCCAATAGAGACCGCTATCTGGCAACATAACGGCAACCTTCGCTCTCTCGGCAAGTATCACGTTGTTTCACCCTGATGCATTTTCACCCTGGGTTTTCACCCTTGTTCACCCTTGTTCACCCTTATTTTGCATGCCAAGCAGGTGATAGGATGGGAGGCGGAGCTTTGTACTATTCCACTGCGAGTTCTTAAACAGCATCAAGTCTTGTCTGACTTCATGGAATCTTTTACTTTTGGAAACATTGTTTTTTTTTTTTATTTAATTGATTGCAATTTGATGCGAGAGCAGAGATTTCAAATGTAATGTCATGATTATATTAATTGGACTCTTATGTTAAATTCTCCTTGAACTTTATTTGTTTTTGTACTTTATATTTGTCATTAATCATGCTTCTGGTGATGGTTTGTTTCTTTTGTACGAAACTAAAGAGAATTAAATGATTGTCATTGAGATGTGAAAGGTTATGAGGTTGTTTCTTTATTGTTTTATAGCTTATTTGATTGTATACTTTAGATATTTGTCTGATTTACAGTATCTTGTTTATTGTTTTATAGGCTTGAGATATAAAATATGGCTTCTGGAGAGTGGAGTTCTGATGCTGAAGAATTGGAAGTCTCTTCAAATGTTTTTAAAATGCGTTTGTTACCTCTGTAATTTCATTTCTTTAGGGTTTGCTTTTATTATTTATTGTGTAGGTTTTGGTTTAGATGCTAGCCAATGCTTCTCACAACCAAAAAACATGCAACTTTTCTTGCAAGCACTAAAAAACGAGCTGTAATATATGTAAAAACATCACCGTGAGGCTGATATCAAAATGGAAAACTTTCAGTGCTGTTTGGTGTTTCAGTTTTTTTAAAGAAATATCAAACAGCATAGTCACATACCGCATACAAATGCTCAAAAGTCCCTTTTTCCATAGGAAACCCTTCTTTTAACAGATCCATAGACTTTTTTTGAACCCTGTGACATTCCATTCTACTCTTGTGAGCGAGTGTGTGGGATGATTGTGCAATCTGACAAACATACGTGGAAGGATATATCTTTCTTTCGTCAGCAAACGCAGTCTAATGTGAACTTAGAACAAAACTGCAGGGTTTAGAAGATGTTGAACGTTGTACCTCTGTTTTGCAGCATGCATTACTTTAATGAATGTGTGTGTGTGTGTGTGTGTCATTATATAACATGTAAAATTGTTATATTGATCTTTCTTATTGGTTGCTTGTATGCGAGCCAGTGTTAGCTCAGTAAATATGCTCGCATTATCAACCAAGATGCAGGATAAAACCAAACCATCCAATGGCTTTGCTGAAGGTAATACTGGAGATTTTCTCAATATGCTTGATTGTGTTACTCTTGTAAACATTTATAGAGATAGTTCACCCCCCAAAAATGTACAGTAAATCAGAAACAAGTGGTTGTAAACTCTTTTTCCTCTGTGAAATGCTTAAGAATGGGGGAAATCAGCTTTTATTATCATCCATAATAAGAACAGATAATACAATGGAAATCAACAGCTCTTATTTTGCAACTTTTACTGAGAATATATGTATTTGTCTGTGAGTGTGTTTAACAGAAGAATAGAAACTCAAATATGTTTAAAACAAGTGGAGGATGAGCAAATGATGGCGGAATTGACATATTTGGGTGGACTGTCCCTTTAATTGCATGTAACAGATAGCCTTAATCATATCACCTGGGTATTTAGAAAGCAGTGTATTTTAAAGTTAACGATTGATTTTTATGTTGACACACCCATATCATTCTAATCCAATTATAGGATGTCACTTGAATGACGAATCGGGCGTGTGCATCCACGTATATGAAGGCTGGACCCTGCATTAAAGCCCCGAGGGTCCCGAGGCATCCTTTACTTATAGTTGAGTTCCATGTGCTGAGTACAGAAACGACATTAAACATCACCATGAGTTCATCTGGAGGTAAGAAGCTAGTTCTGCTTTGAATGCACGCGTAATTTAGGCTATTTGTAAAATGTAGCAAGTGTTTCTTGGTTTTGCTGAATTGTGCATTTAAAGTGTTGGTGACGTAATGACTCACTCTAGCTGTACGCGTGGAAAGCTTTCATCATGTTAGAAGTTGGATTTTTAAATGCATGAAACTGCTATTTTCGAGTATCCCTCAATGTATGGATGATGTATGGAACTTTTGCACACGTTGCAGGAATTGGTTTAGAGAGTAAACTCTGTAACAGACCATAATTGTATAGCAAAACATGCTAAACAATAGAAAAAAACGATGTAGCTATATGCAGCTTTCTTGATTCTTAACTAAGTCAAACATTGCATTTAACCAATGTTTTTGACTCTTTCTGACAGCCATTTTGCTCATTGGTGTCATGTTACTGAAAAGAAAAAGAATTGGAGCGACGCGACGTCTTTTCTCATAAACTATCGCGATTGTTGCTGTGGAATTTTTGACGCCAATTATAAAACTGATTTTGCGTTTTGATTGGATGTGGAATGAGTTCTGAATTATGCACGAAGTTGCTTGGCAACCTTAAACTAGTTAAATAGTTTATCAAATGTGGGACATCAGATAGCCTAAACCAGGAGAGATAAACATAATGTCTAATTATATTACATTATTCAAACACATAATATATAATGAAACGTGTATACAAACCCTTCGAAAAGAGTACAAGCAAAATATTGCAAAATATAAAAAAATACAATCTAAACAATTTTATCAAGATTTTATTTTTTGCTTCTCTTGATTTTTCTATAACATTTTCTATAACATTTTGGGTTTACTAGTTTTTTGACCAATATCTTAAGTTATTTTATTAGATAAGCTCCAGATTTGGCCTCAGTACTAACTCATCTGATAGATAATAGATTTGTGAGGGGTCTACTTACTATTGTCGGTGTGTGTGTGTGTGTGTGTGTGTGTGTGTGTGTGTGTGTGTGTGTGTGTGTGTGTGTGTGTGTGTGTGTGTGTGTGTGTGTGTGTGTGTGTGTGTGTGTGTGTGTGTGTATGTGTATATATGTGTGTGTGTGTATGTGTATATATGTGTGTGTGTGTGTGTGTGTGTGTGTGTGTGTATATATATATGTATATATATGTATGTGTATATATATGTGTATATATATGTGTATATATATATATATATATATATATATATATATATATATATATATGTATATATATATATGTGTATATATATATATATATATATATATATATATATATATATATATATATATATATATATATATATATGTTTTTTAGATTTAAACATGCGTTTAGAAGTGATTTTGTTGTTAAGCATTTTGTCACTTTGAATTTAGACGTGTATAGTTCTTTCATCCAATATTATTTGGTGTATTGATAGTTTATTGTGATTGTGGTTGTGCTATTGTGATTAAACAAATACTATTACCCGCTGTACATTAATTTATTTCAACATATTACTTTTGATGCTGTTTTCTTGAAGTACTTCATTTAAAATTTATTTGATGCTAAATATTCAATTCATCTCAGAGTATATGAATGGCCACGTCCACCTGGAAGAATCAGACATGGACGAGTCTGATGGGAAGCTGTTCCTTACTGAGGCTTTCAACATAATCATGGAAGAAATTCTTAACAAAGGAAGGGACTTGAAGGAGAAGGTCATGTCTTTTAAGAATTTACCATCTCATTTAACAACTCCTTGCGCTTCCTATCTTATCTAGTATCTGCTAATAGTCTTAACAACCGTGTGTCTTTGCATCAACAGGTTTGTGAGTGGAAAGATCCAGATCAGCTGAGATCTCTCCTGGACCTCGAACTTCGGGATCATGGAGAATGTCATGAGAAGCTGCTGCAGAGGGTTCGAGATGTGGCCAAATACAGCGTAAAAACTTGTAGGTGGATTATTGGTTGTCTTCCTGTATAGATCTTTTTTTAAAGGGGTCATGAACTGAGAAATCTAAATTCCCTTGATCTTTTGAGATATAAGAGGTCATTGTGCTGTAAAAACTTCCTGTAAGTTTCCGAACTCAAAATGTTTATGTTAGTCTAAAAAACGACAGGTTTTTGAATGAGCCGTTAATTCTGTAATATTGTTGATAAAACTCTGCCTTCACAGAAGAATCTCATTGTCTATTTCTAGATCACTGTCTCTTTAACTCTGGCCACTTATTAACATTGCAGTAGGTTAATATCTAGGGTCTATGCAGAAACCAAAGAACGAAGATGCTCTAAAATCAACATGACACTGTGCATTGCCTTCTAATCTCAACATTAGGAAAGAGAAGATGAACATATTAATTTAATGAAATTTCAGACCAAGTCAATAAAAATTTGACTTTTTGTTCACCTAATATTCCTGGAGTATCAATTACAAGTAACCAGTGTTGGTCACATTCTTTTAAAAGAGTAATCTGTTATAGGTACTAGTTGATTGTAGTTGTGAAACGAACACAACTACAAACACAACTTCCAGTTCTTCGAACAGGAAATAAAAATCAAGCAGTGCAACTAAAATATATGCAATAAATTTTTATTGCAAATGTTTTAGTTTTTTAAGCACTGCTTGAATGAATATATATATATATATATATTGCAGATTTTTTTATTTTTTTCAAATTTTATTTTTATTTCTCAACTTAATTTCCCCTTTCCTTTGCAGCTCTTTATTTTTGTTCGCAAAATGAACTTTTATTTCTCAAAAATAAATTTTTGCTTTGCGATTTTTGGAGATTTGCATTTATTGATTTATTTTTTTTGCTCAATATTTTTTTTGTTTGCAAAACTCTTTTATTTTGCTAGTATATATGGCCGTAGATTGACTCCATAGTAGTTGCTGTTTTATTTATGAGTCTATAATCTGCCACATTTACTCAAAGTCCAATCATCTTTGTTTCTATAGCATATCTACTATGTAGATTGTGTGAAAGCTTAACATAGAAGTAAAGAGAATTAAAAAAACATAATATTTCAGATTGTGGAAACATTTAAACGAATCCAAGAGTATGTGAACCTCAGAACAAGAAACCACTTCTAAATGATGATGTTTTTTAATGTAAAGTTTTTATCCATTATAAACAAACCTCAGAGAATGGAACAGCATAAACAAAAAGAGGCAGTTCATGAACTCTTTAAATGTTTTAATCTAAAATGTTGTCTCGTTCATAAATGCGTAGCTACACCTAAAAGGTTTTTCCTGTCTGCAGGTCATCCTCGGTTCTTCAATCAGCTGTTTGCTGGCGTGGACTATCATGCACTGACAGGACGGCTCATCACTGAAACCCTCAATACCAGCCAGTACGTCTTCATGTTAATGTGTTACAGTGAAAGTGCCATTGTAGGTTGTCTGGTGAGAGTTTATATGGGGTCTATGAGAGTTTATATAGGGATTTGCTTACAAGAGTGAAACTGAGTAGGATGTAAACGGTTACACTAAAGTGTTCCATTAAATCCTGTTGTCATAGTAATAAGTAACTTATCAGAGGTTATCAGATGAGACAATTTGACAACAGTATTGAGCCAGGGGTATACAGTAGCTTACAGTATAGACTGTTTGACAACTGCATTGATTGGAGATTGATTAAATTAGCTCTGGATTTATTTAGGATGTGTTTGCATTTTTGGAAACGTTGTTTTGGCTTTCACGCTTCTGAAATCATTTAACTACAGTTGAGATCTAGCTGGATGTTGGATGATGTTTTGTTCATTTTGAGCAATATCAATTGGGATAATAAGGGCCTTGGTGTTCTATTAAAGGTGCTGCAGCAATAACTTGACGGACTTCGTACAGCACCTTTAAATAAGCTTTAATCACAGCCTATCCAATCAAAGAGGTTTTCTTCAAACATAGAAGTATTACATAGAATGGGTTCAGTGCATGGCATGACAAACATGCCTAATGTCTTTCCATTCTCTAGTACAAAATAAATCTGTATTTAATGAGTGCTCCAACCACAGCCATAGGGTTATATATTTAGACAGTCGTAAGTTAGTGCCAGCAATAACCAATAGAAGGCAAGTTTAGATGGCTAAGTATATAACATTTAATCCAACATCTAGTTTTCTGATAAATGTAAAACTGCAAGAAAAAGAAGGGTTGGTTATGTTTAATTTATTTCACAACAGGTTATTTTATATTCTGCTAAACGGATGAAATAATAAGATATATATTGTAAGATATTATTAGGTTTCTAAAAAAATAATTTTAAACATGTATTTTGTGAATAGAAAATAAAAAAAATAATAGCAAAAATCATATGTGTTTGAATATCTGAGTAAATCCTGCAAAGAAATGAATGTAGGGTGGGACTTAGGATTGGATTGGATCACTGGATGGTTGGCCATTGGTTGCTCTCCTGTAATTGACAGGTTGTCCCAGAAAACACATTTTGAGAGATAGTATAGTTGAATATGTATGTATATGATGACTGATCAATGCGCACCGTACTCAGTGTGAAGTTGTTACAGATACACCTATGAAGTGGCTCCAGTGTTTGTCCTGATGGAGGAGGAAGTGATCAGTAAGCTTCGCTCTCTGGTTGGCTGGTCAGAAGGAGATGGGATCTTTTGTCCTGGAGGATCCATGTCTAACATGTATGCCATTAACGTCGCTCGGTACTGGGCTTTTCCTCAAGTGAAGACAAAAGGCTTGTGGGCCGCACCACGGATGGCTATATTTACATCACAACAGGTAAAAAAGACAATAATTATTTGTTATGATCTTCAATTTAAGGAGGTGTTCTTATACACTAATAATGAAATGCAATATGTCCCCACATTTGTGTAGATTCAACTCAAAATATGATTTATTATACCAAATTGTAAACACAATTTTTTTTTACAGAATCAAAAATGCAATTTCGTGTGTGTCTTTAAATGCAAATGAGTTGCTGCTCTCCACCCCCTTTCCATAAAAGGGTGGAGTCTTTACAGCTAATGCCTCAGTCACTATTTCAAAAACAAAAAAAATGTCTGCTTTAATTTTAAAGCCTTGTCAGATTAGTTGTTTATTTACCCAAAAGTTTTAACCCAAAGAATGAGCAGTATGTCAAATGAACAAGAGCCGGTGTCAGAGATTCAAATAAATAAAAGACGTTTACTGAAAATAGTTTGCCATTTCATCAACAGAAGCCAGCTTCAACACTCGCAATGAGTTCCTAGGCCGCTCTGTCCTACAATCACAAATCAATAACAATTATACTCGCACAATGTCATTATCTGCGTCATACATATAGGTGTTCTAACCTGATACTAGCCAATAGACTGTTTAGACTGTTTAGAGCTGACCCCAGACGTGTGTACGAAACCACAATCAAATATAACACAAACACTTAAAGTAGAATCTGTTCCTTACTCAAGGCTGAGTAGTACTGAGTGTACTCTTACCCGTCTTTATCAAAACTTGTAAAAAAAAAAACGGTGTAATCTACATTCAGGCTGTTATATCCTTACTACACTAAGTCTATCTTGAATAAAAAGTAGAATCATTTTAAAAGAATTAACTGTTGAAAATAGCTAAATCAATTTAGACATTTTAGATAGTATTAACTCATAGAAATCATAATAGAAACAGTTGTTTCCAGTCCTCAGCCCTTCAGTTCCACTCGAGGTCTCCGTGACCTCTGATCTAGTTTGGTGGGTCCTGAAAATAGTTACAAAGAGACATCCAAATGCACTGAACATTCTTATATTAAGCAATGTGTTAACTTATTTATTATTCATTAAATCATTCTTGTCAGCTTAGTCCCTTTATTAATCTGGGGTCGCCACAGCGGAATGAGCCGCCAACTTATCCAGCAAGTTTTTACTTAGCGGATGCCCTTCCAGCCACAACCCATCTCTGGGAAACATCCACACATATATATACACACACACACACACACACACACACTCATACACTACGGACAATTTAGCATACCAAATTCACCTGTACCGCATGTCTTTGGACTGTGGGGGAAACCGGAGTACCCGGAGGAAACCCATGCGAATGCAGGGAGAACATACAAATTCCACACAGAAACACCAACTGAGCCGAGGATCGAACAAGCGACCTTCTTGCTGTGAGGCGAACGTGCTTCCCACTGCGCCACTGCGTCGCCCTCATTAAATCATCTTTAATAAAAATAATGAGAAACAGGATGATGAGAAAAGGATAAACGTTGATCCATGCTGAGACCGATTGGAAGGTAGAAATCTGAATCCATCAGATTTATCTCCTTCTTCAATTTATCTAGCTGCTGTGTTGTACGAATATTAAGCAAAGCTCTCTTTCGTGTCTACTGGCAGTGTAATAGGTGCAGTTTACACTAATCCATTTTTTTAATGAACACGCCTGGCATCTACACTACTCCAGCATCTTTGACCTGCGAAAACAGAGCATTTTGAAAACAATTCACACCCTGTATTATTTTGGAAAAGGGTGTGCTCTGTTTCAATGCAGACAGAAATGCAGAGTTTTGAAACCGGAGGCATGGCGCTCTTTGATTGATCCACTGGAGTATTGCGTATCATTCCGAATCGTCAAGCCGCTTCCATATTTATTTAAATTAATATTTATTTATATAGTCCTTATTGAAGTTCAAGTTCTTTTATTTATGAAGCACATTTAAAAGCAGTTAAAAGACTGACCAAAGTGCTGTACATAAGACAAGGTAAAAATAAAAGACAGCATATAAAAACAGAGAAATAAGGCAAAGAAACGTCTGTAAAAAAAAAATAGCGGTAGAACGAACTATTAAAATAATCTTAAAAAGCCAAGCTAAAAAGGTACGTTTTAAGAAGTGATTTAAAAATAGATAATGATGGAGCCCTTCTAATCTCAAGTGGCAAGGTGTTCCACAACTGAGGACCTGCCACAGAGAAAGCTCTGTCCCCTCTACATTTCAGCCGAGACTGCGGAACTGAAGGAAGATTCTGCTCACTCGAACTAACAGATCTCACAGGAGTGTAAAGATGAAGCAGCTCTGAGAGATAGGATGGGGCTAGATTATGGAGGGGTTTATAAACCAGTAAAAGCACTTTAAAATCAATTCTGAATTGCACAGGCAGCCAATATAGTCCTCTTAAAAGAGGGGGGGGGGGGGGGGGTTATGTGGTCATGTTTTCTGCTGTTGCAAATAAATCTAGCAGCAGCATTTTGGACCAACTGAAGGCGAGAAACCTGGGATTTTGACATGCCACCGTAAAGTGCATTGCAGTAGTCTAACCGGGATGTAATGAATGCGTGTAGACTATGTGCTATACAGTATAGACTGTCAAAGCAGCTTAACATGGTTCTAGTAAAGTCCAGATTTCAGAGTTGAAGTTCAGTTTAGTTCTATAAACGTATGAGTATTACACAAGCATTAGACTGCATGTATGGATGCTGGCATATGTGCATATACAGTGAGTGTGAGCGGTCATGTGTCATGCATTTTAAGCTGTATAGTATGTGCAAAAATCTTTATTTTTTTTCCAAAAGGTCTGTATGAGGAGGGTTTTCATTGTAAAATGACGTCATAAAACGCTGTAGTGTAATTGGCAGCTTAGACATGTGAAACTGCATCTTTTGGACCACACACTACACTGTAAAGTGTTTGTTAATGAACTGATTCCGTATTTTGTGATCCACAAGTGTTTTCGGTTTATTTCTGGTTGTGAATTGCATTGCTTGACGTTGATGATCTACTCTGTCGACTTTTGATTTTGAAAATGCAACTCCACAGTTTAACAAAGTGGCTTTTATTGACATTTTAGCAGTTCCAAATAATATATAAAGAAATATTTCTGTAAAATATCAGAAAGTGTGCTGGCAGTTTATTGCAGGGTTTTTGTAGTGTAATATAACACTAACCCAGACAACATATGACTTTACACTATTAAAAATTTACATCAATGTTAAAAGTTGTTGAATGAAAGATCAAACTCCTATAATACAATTCAAAAGCAGAAATAAAATAAAGCATGAATCACAACGTACAGAAAGCTGCTAATTTATGGATATTCTTTACAGTGTACTAATGAAGCTTAGCCATGCTTCTCTTCCTTAGATGGAAATATTGGTGATTGTGACAATAAAATTCAAAATGTAAAAATCAAAATAGGACCCCTTTAAAAAGCAGTGTAATTATCAAAAGTGTAAATCCAATGTTATGCCATGTTTTCTTATAGAGTCATTACTCCGTGAAAAAAGGAGCTGCGTTTCTTGGTATTGGAACAGAAAATGTTTTCATTGTGCAAGTGGATGAGAGGTATGGCTTCTTTTCTCTAGCAAGCTTTCTTGAAATGTATTTATTTTGTTTATTTTAAAAATGTTTCTTTGTTTCGCCACAGCGGCAGCATGATACCAGAAGACCTGGAGGCAAAAATTGTGCAGGCAAAATCCCAAGTAAATATTTTAATTATATGCTCAATTAAGCCATGTAATGTTCTGTTCTGAGGTTTGATATGAGACTGAAAGAAGTGTTTTATGCTCACTAAAGCTGTATTTATTTGTGACCCTGGACCACAACCAGTCAAGTGTATTTTTCTTTAATTGATATTTGACAGCTAAATAAACAAGCTTTCCATTTAGTTTATAATATTATTTGTTTGTTAGAAAATGTGAAATCTGTTGGTTAAAATTCAAAATACAAAAAAAAAAAATCCCTTTCAAGTACACTTAGATATGCTTGGGCTTAATAACAGGTTTGGCATGCTGTCCCGGGAGAGAGCCCTGAGCTCAGAGATAATTGAGCCTAAGCATATTAGGGGGTCCCAGATCACCTGGAATAGGGAGGAAAAAGAGGAGATGAGGTGCAACGGAATAGTAAAGGCAGTAGGGTGAAATCAGTCTATTAATTGTAAGCTTGGATCAATCCAAGAAAACCATTGTTAGCTAACTAAAGTCGCAGGTTGCGTTCTTACAAACATAGTTAATTGATTTGGTGTTTCCCAAATCCATCGTTTACAATTGTGCTCCCTTTTGCACTTTGAAAACATTGATGTCATTTTGAACACAGCCTGATAAAGAAAAAAGCAATAGGTGACCTATTATTTAAAAGTGGAATTTATTTTAAGTCTCCAAAGCTTGAGAACAAAAAAATTAGCATGCGTTGTTGCTTTTAATTTATAGTAGGTTATTTATTAAGTATCTATACTGTATATGACATGGGCCTGTTGGTTAGGACATTTCTGCATTGGTGTACATGTCACATTGTAAAAGTAGACTTTTCAAAAAATAAAAAATAAATAAACAATATCCTAATCAATCATCATCACCATCATTAATATTATTATTATATTATGATTTTTTTTCTAATAAATAATAAATATTAAATTTCATTTCTTAATAAATAGCCTTATTTATTTATTTATTTATTTATTTATTTATTTATTTATTTATATGATTTATATATAATATTAGAATAAGTGTTAGCTTTTGTAATTGATTATGTTTTAGAATAGAATATGTAATATTCTCAAGAATATTTGTAAAGGAAACACAGGCCCTATATGTGCCATTTACATATATTTCAATTAATATAGAAAATGAATGCATGTTTTTCCGAAACTAATATTTAATTTTTTTTTTCATGTGTGTGTGTGTGTGTGTAAAACAATGTAATTTGCACAGAAAATATGGTGTTGTTCCCCAAAGTTGTTGTTACAACCCAGTTTAGAGTATCTTTGTGGCCAATTTAGGTTTCAACTTATGTGGTTCAAACGATGACTCCACAACAGAGAAACTATGGTTTTATGGAACACTCATGAATACATCGTTAATTTCCCAAACGATGCATCGTACTATAATAGTTCAGCCGCGAGTTATATCGTTGTTTGGGAAACGCACCCCTGATTGGATTATTACTAATTACGGATAAAGCCAGCCATGATCAATCTCTCCTCTCAATGCTCCTCTCGAAAATAGTTTATAAAACCTCACTTAAACTTGTCTAAATGAAGTACATTTCTTAGCAAAAAATTGAATTTGTACAATAGGACATTTAAAAAATGAAAGATAGATCTTCATCTAATACTTTTTTAATATAAAATATTATTAATACAAGTAATATCCACCCATACAATGCATTTCTGCCTATTGCCAGTGCAACATAAGACTGATTTTATTGAATCGCATTTAATAAATAAAACCGTCAAGGCAAGTAAATATTGTGTGATATTATTGGAAATTAAAATAATGTCTTCTGAATAAATAATGTGATGTTAAAGCAGAATTTTCAGCAGTATTACTGCATTTTTGTCACATTATCCTTTAGAAAAGTATCTTCAATTATCTTCAATTTTTGATAAGAATATTGGACCGCAAAGCTTTGAAATAGAAATTAACTGTAACATTGTCTTTACTAGCACGTTATTAATTAAATGCTAAAGAATATTTTCGTAAAATAACTTTTAAACATATATATTTAATATTAAAAAGAGTTATTCTAAACCAGAACAGCTTTTTTTCTTTTTTCCAATGGAAACAAAAAGAAAATATTCTGCATAATGTTCAAGCTGCACCATGAAAAAATCTCTTCTAAAAAATATGACATGAAAGTTAGGACTGCACAATATATCATTTCAGCTTCGATACTGAATGTGAGAATCTTTAATAGTCTTATTGCAGGATCTTAATAGATTCCGGGTTGATTTAAGCCATTTAGACGCAAGACATTACAAAGTTTTCTGCTTTACAATTAGATTTGATTAATTGGGTTTAGAAGCATCATGGTGGTGCAGTGGGTAGCACAATCGCCTCACAGCAAGACGGTCACTGGTTCGAGCCCATGTTCGCTTGGGTTTCCTTCGGGTTCTCTGGTTTCCCCCACAGTCCAACAACATGTGCTATAGGTGAACTGAATAAACTAAATTGTTCGTAGTGTATGTTTGTGAATGAATAAGAGTGTATGGGTGTTTCCCAGTGATAGGTTGCAGCTGGAAGGGCATCTGCTGCATAAAACATATGCTAGATAAGTTGGCAGTTCATTCCTCTGTGGCGACCCCAGATTAATAAAGGGACTTAGCTGAAAAGGAAATGAATGAAGGAATGATTGGGTTCATATATTTATACAATAAAGACAGTTATCTTAAATTTGATTATCGTATTTCTATATCTCAAAACTGTTAGACTCCACCCAGAACAATAGTAATTTTTATCTTTGTTCTATTGTTTTCATTTGTGCTTTAAATTATTTTGTGAATTTTTCTATAATTTTGTATATTTTTAACATCGCAATGTCATTTTATTTTCAATTTCATGCTGCCCTAATGGAAATGTCTAAGGGTAAAGAGTAAGTGTTTGTTCTTTTAGGACGCTGTTCCGTTTTTCGTAAACGCCACAGCCGGAACCACAGTGCAGGGAGCCTTTGACCCTCTGAAGCGCATAGCTGACATATGTGAAAGAAACGGCATGTGGATGCATGTTGACGTAAGTACAGCACGCTTATCTTGCGTTTTAAAAAACATTGAGCAACATGTCTATATGCTCACGGCCCTCGCTTTAAAAGTATCCAGTTGTTTGCACTTAAAACGTTCACATGAGATTTTCCCCCTTTTCCTAACTGTTCCAATCTGGATGTCTGTCCTTTACAGGCCGCATGGGGAGGAAGCGTGCTGTTTTCCAAAAAGCACAGACATCTGGTTGCAGGAATAGAAAGGTTTGAACTCTGTGGACTTTATGAATCAAATGATTTTCAGACATACATCATCGACTGTCATTTAATGTTTCGTTTTTGTTTAATACTCAGAGCAAACTCGGTGACTTGGAATCCTCACAAAATGCTTCTGACGGGACTGCAGTGCTCTGTGATTTTGTTCAGAGATACTACGGTATGAAAAGGCTTTTGTTTCCTCCACAAATCACAGAGTTCTCACGGTTCATGGACGTTTTAAAGCTTTAAAGCAGGGGTGTCCAAACTTAGACCTGGAGGGTCGGTGTCCTGCTGAGTTTAGCTCCAACTTGCTTCAACACACCTGCCAGAAGGTTTCTAGAATATCAAGTAAGAGCGTGTATAGGTAGTTCAGGTGTGTTTAATTAGGGTTGCTAAACTCTCCAGGACACCCCTGCTTTAAATCATTGAAAGTCAGGGAATTTGTACTTATTTTGGGCTTAGTCATGGAACATAATGGATTTTTGTTTGTCACTTTTATTTATTGTTTGCATTTATGAAAGTGTAATTTTTGTGTACATTTTATTATAATTTTTTTATGGTTGCACGGTCTCCTCACAGCAAGAAGGTTGTGGTTTGACCTTGGTTCAAGCCAAGCTGGGTCAGTTGGGTCAGCGTGGGTTTCCTCCGGGTGCTCTGGTTACCCCCACAGTCCAAAGACATGTGCTATAGGTGAACTGAAGAAACTAAATTGGCCGTAGTGTATGTGTGTGAATGCGAGTTTGTATGGGTGCTTCCCATTGTTGGGTTGCAGCTGGAAGGGCATTTACTGAGTAAAACATATGCTGGATAAGTTGGTGGTTCATTCTGCTGTGGAGATCCCTGATTAATAAGGGGACAAAGATGATTTATTTTTTGTATGACGGTGAAACCATATTCGTGCTGACTGGCCTGGATCGGCATGGAATCAACCAGTTAAGCAAAGAGAACTGTTCTGCCCAATAGCGGAGATGTTAGTTTTTTATTATAAGGTATAACTTAAGTTTATTTATAAACCACATTTAAAAGCATCAACAGGCTGACCAAAAGTGCTTTACATTAAAAGGAAGGTTAATTACACTAGTCGCACGGTGGCTCAGTGGTTAGCACTGTTGCCTCAGCATGAAGGTTGCTGGTTCGAGTCTCGGCTGTGCCAGAAAATGGACCCTTTTGACGTTTCTGGGTTTCTCCGTAGCAGATATCATCACAGTTCAGTAAAATTAGAGCACAGTAAATGGGAGAGTGCAACAAATCATTTTTTACAATCCTATTTGCTGAAATAATAAAAGAGAAATGGACGATGATATTATGAAGACTTTTAGAAAAAGGAAAACAAATGTGAGAACTGCAGCCTGAGGGGTGAACAATGTCAAATTAACTGACCTGTGCATAGACGCTGCTTTACAAACACCTCACACAATCGGGAATTAATTTGAAAGTAATTTGATGCAAAGATGTTATGATGCACACCTGAATATAAATGTTTATATGTTGTCATTTTTATATCTTAATATTACAAACTTTAAGATGCTGATGACCATTAAACCCGTCATCGCAGTCTTGTGAAAAGTGTCCATTCAAGCCAAGGAACACAAAGTGCCTGGCTATAATTTCGCTACATTTCTCAAATATTTGCAAATGATATTGATTATTAGATTATCAGACATTTGCAGGAGCAAATCCTTCCATGGTGGTAATGGTACTAAATGCAGCGTTGTTTATGCTTTGCGCATGTGCATCGGATGTTCTGGGTTTGCTGTTCTGAATAAAAAAACCAGAAAATGTGACGTCTGTGTGACTTCCTAGACTGCAGATACACACAAAGTATCTGTAATTAGAAAGTATATAAAAGCAGGTCAATAAAAATTCATTTATTCATTTTTGTTCCGCTTAATCCTTTTATTCATCAGGGGTCGCCACAGTGGAATGAACTGCCAACTTATCCAGCATATGTTTTACGCAGCGGATGACCTTTTCAGCTGCAACCCAGTGCTAGGAAACACCCATACACTCTCACATGCCCACTCGTACACTATGGCCAATTTAGTTTATTCAATTCACCTATCGCGCATGTGTTTGGACTGTGGGGGAAACCAACCACTGAGCCACTGTGTCACCTGATCTATAAAAATCTGCCTTGAACATTTAAAATTTAAGACAATAAATGTTTTTAAGTAAAAATACTAATAAAACACATTTTAATTGGCATTTAATTTCCAGTTTTTACTAAATAACACTTCTCGATCATTCAAAAAGATTTGTCATGTTATTAGATCTGTACCTCTGTTTATATTACTTCATATAACCCATTAAAAAGGTGATTACCCCTAAAATAAATGTCATAATTCGTCCCAAACAGAGTTTCTTTCTTCAGCTGAACACAAGGATATATACAGTAGTTACAGCAGCAATTATGGAAATCAATGCCCACTGTATTTTGATAAATGTTGGAAATCGCTAATCAACATTAAAGTGGATCAAAAAGTTTTCAAAATTTTCCTGAGACAAGAATGAGTCCTCTTCAATAATTTTAGGACAACTTCAATGCAAGGTTTTGATGCACTTCAAGTGTTGACTAAAGATTTCCAACAGTTCATCAAAATACAGTAGACGTTGTCTTCCATAGCATTTCTGCTTTCCAATTATGAGAAGTCTGTGATTTTAAATGTTTCCAACATTCTTCAAATTAACTTCTTTTGTGTTCAACTGAAAAAAAAGAATCATGAAGGTCTGCAACTACTTGATTACATTTTAATTTTTTTTAAATACATAAATCTTGATTTTAAACTTCAAGTCTTGAAAAACTAGACAGGGCTGCTGATGATGTGTGTTGATTTACCCATAAATGCTTATGCAAGTGTAAACTTAACTTCATAATTTTATGCTGAATTTGCAGAATTTGCTCATGCACTGTCACAGTGCCAAAGCCACATACTTGTTCCAGCAAGACAAGTTCTACGACACAAGTCTGGACACGGGCGACAAATCCATCCAGTGTGGCCGGAAGGTGGATTGCCTCAAGCTCTGGCTCATGTGGAAGGCAATCGGAGCTAGTGGTCTTTCACAGCGTGTCGATAAGGCCTTTGCCCTCACTAGGTATTTGATGCATCTATTAGAGGAGTTGTTCATTAATATGAAATAGTCTTTTTAATGTGCAGAACTGTTATCTTAAATTAATTGCAATGTATTATTAACATAATATTACTATTAAAGTTTATGGTTGATGATTTTTTGATCATGTTATTTGATAATAAACATTGTAAAAATGTAACTTTTTAAAAACAATAATTTTGTCAGCACCAATAGCCTAGTGGTTAGTGAATCGACACGTAGCACCGTGGTGCTCCCGGCATCCGAAGTTCGAATCTTGGCTCGAGGTCCTTCCCTGCTCTGCTCCCTACACTAACCCCTACTGTCCTATACCAATAAAGGTTAAAACCCATTAAAAAAATTGTACAATTTTATTATGATTTAAAGTAAAACTTATTTTCGTAATAGAAATATATTATTTTTAGCTCATTTTTCTTCTCTGTCAGAGGATACATTGATAGTCATTCAAAGATGATTCACTGATCAAAAAACATTTATTATTATTATTATTATTATTATTAATACTATATATTTTAAAGGATAAAACATTGGTAAAATTTTAAAAGAGCACTACATTATTTTAAATATTATATAAATATAATTTTTGTTATATATTTTTTTATGTTTTTGTTTACTTTTTGATTTAATGCATTCTGGTTGAAAAGCAATTATTAAATTAAAATAATTTTTTATTTAAAAACAAGCTAAAAAAACTGATTGACCACAGATTTTTCAATAATCATGTGTGTGTGTGTGTGTGTGAGATTTCATATTTGTTTGCTCACAGGCTGATTTTATTTGATCATAAATATTGTACAGATTTGAAATATAATGACTAATAATAAAATTGAAAATAGTTATTTTTAAGTTTTAAAAGAGAATTTATTTCTGTTTAGAATAAATAATTATTACAATGATTCTTTGGTAATAATTCAAATATAGTGATTTGCTGCTAAAAAAACCTAACATTTTATTTATTTGTTTATTTTAAAATATTTAAATAAATGTTGCAATATTTACATTGATTTTTTATTTTATTTTTATTGTTGATAAGCATTGTTAATTATTTAAAAATGTTAGATTTTTTTGAAGGATTTTTGAGTAGTCGTGTGTGTTTGTGTATCATTTTATATGTTTATATTTGTTTTATATATAACTTCTGTCTTTTTTTAATATACACTTGATCTGTTTTTCACCAGGTATTTAGTTGAAGAAATGGAGAAACGGGAGAATTTCCAGCTGGTCTGTAAGGTACTGTGATGCACTGATTTTACCAAACTAAAGTGGTACGCTTATGTTTATGTAAATGATTATATGTGGTGTTTTTTTTTTCCAATAGGGGCCGTTTGTGAACGTTTGCTTCTGGTTTATTCCACCCAGTCTGAAAGGAAAGGAGAACAGCCCAGATTACCAGGAAAGACTATCCAAGGTCAGCTTTTGTTCAAATGACAAATTGTAATATCTAATGCAGAGGATTCAGTTATTGATTTATTGTTTATAATGTGTTACCCATGTGCACCATCAGGTGGCGCCAGTCATTAAAGAGAGGATGATGAAGCGAGGAACGATGATGGTGGGATATCAGCCAATGGATGAACACGTCAACTTCTTCCGCATGGTGGTTGTTTCTCCACAGCTCACAACCAAAGACATGGATTTCTTCCTTGATGAGATGGAGAAACTCGGGAAGGATCTATGATTTGCTCTGAATATCAATGGTGGATCTATGTACAGTGTCACACACATGCCTTCATTGTCTGTCGTTTAAAAAAAAGCACGATTGCTAAAACTCATTTTGACGTAAACCGTACACAATACTGACTTTATTGAACTAGCCAGCAAAATTAATTCTGGTTCACAAACACTACTGGTCAAACGATTGGCATCATTGCAGTTTTGTATTTGAATGATTACAAAATTTTTACTTGACAGTTTTGAGTGCCATTTTTAAGAACAATTCCTTCTCAAGAAACATTTTTTTTTATCTCTAATTAATCTCTAATCTCTAATTATCTTATTAATTAATTAATGTCTTTATTTTAGGAAACTGAAAATGGAATGATTTAGATAACAAAATAACACTTTTTTTTTTTTTTAACAAGGATGCAATAAATTTATCAAGTTTTAGTAAAGCCATTTATTATCTTACAAATGATTTAGAGTTTTAAAAAATATATGCCATCATTTCATAAAGATTAAATAAAGCAGCACAACTGTTCCAAATACATTTTTGATAATATTGACCATTATTAATATCTGAGAATTGATAAAAAATAATCAATGATTTGAACACAAATCACTGAATTTGACATGTTCTGAATTGATCACTGATGACTAGCATAATGATGCAGAAAATTCAGTGCTTCATCACACGAATAAATTACATTTAAAAGCAAATTACAATAGAAAACAACTTTTGTTAAATAGTAAAAATATATTAAATATGTTACTGTATTTTGGCGACATGGTGGCTCATTGGTTAGCACTGTCGCCTTACAGCAAGAAGGTTGCAGGTTTAAGTCCCCACTGGACCAGTTGGCATTTCTGTGTGGAGTTTGCATGTTCTCCCCGTGTTCGCGTGGGTTTCCTCCGGGTGCTCCGGTTTCCCCTACAGTCCAAAGACATGCGCTAAATGCCTTAGTGTATGAGTGTGAACAGGGTTTCCGAGTCTTAAAATGTCTTAAATTTCAAAACCTAAATATTAGGCCTTAAAAAGTCTTAAATTCACTGATATATTGTGTTGTAGATCTTAAATTGGTTTAAACCGGTCTTAATTTTGCTTTGTCCAAGTAAAACTACTCAATTTGGGCCAATCTAATAACCAACAACACATAAAACCTTATTTTTTATATTTAAGTTTTTTATTGCCAGAGTTTATGACAGCTGTTAAATATTTTTACAGCAAATTCCCCAAATTAATAATCACCTAATCAGGGGAAAAAAACAAAAAATATTAACACGTTTTATCATGATAATAATAATGAAAAAATCTTAACCCTGTATAGGTCTAAAATGTAATTCTTTATGGTCTTAAAAGGTTCTTAAAATATCTGAAAGAAACCTTGGTGAGGGTGTATGAGTGTTTCCCAATGCTGGGTTGCAGCTGGAAGGGCATTCGCTGCATAAAACAAATGCTCGATAAGTTGGCTGTTCATTCCTCTGTGGCGACCCTGATAAATAAGGGATATACAAACAAACTGTATATACAATAAAAATGTATATACAAACAAACAAACATATTCCAAACTTTTGACCAGTATTAAAATAACTTGTCACACCCAATTCTATTACTTGTATATAAAGACAGCACCCAAAATAAGTTATAATCTAGGATTAGGATTGAGAGTTACTGCTGACTCAATGACTGCATCTGGAATGGCATACTTTCCCGCTGTAAAGTAGTATTATTCACAGTACTCGTATCAGTGCCATGTCAGCAAACCTGAATGAGCAACATGATTGACAGGCAGAGAGTGATTCTGATTGGCTAAAAAAAGGGCTGTTTCTCTTTTCAGAGCCTTGGGTCACAGTGACAGGTGTGTTTTGTTAGCACTCATGTTTTAGTGAATCTGTCAGGACTTGTGAACCATGGTTAATTACAGTGCATTTACCGTGCTTTGTTTTATTGATTAACAATTGTGATATCAGTTTAAATAGAAAAACATGGTTAAACTGGTTAGTGTTCTATAATCTTGGTTAGTTTGTGGTTGCCATGGTTTAACTTTTTTATTGTAGTATAAGATGAACGATTGTATGTGCAGTCTTCCAACAAATAGCTTTAAATTTGAGTATGAAGCAGATTTTGTATTTTAGTAATTTAGTTTCATTAGTCTCCATAATTTAATTAGTTGGCGACATTGTCTGCACAATGTTATTTTGCTTTAGTCTCTTTTATAATGGAGTCTTACCCAAACTATAGGTCAATAAACGAGACTGAACATTATCTGTGAAGTTTGTATGGGGGAAATTACGTTTTTTCTATGCTGGATTTGCTAGGTATGGGTTGAAGTTGTTCATATTTGTTATGTTGTATGGCATCTGATAACATTTCTTCAAAATTAAAAGAATGTATATATTAGGGCTGCACGATATTGGAAGAAACTGACATTGCAGTATTTTATTTTTCTGCGATACACATTGCCATATTGAGCATGATTTTAACAGATGAAATGAATAGTTCCATTTGAAAATAATGAATCATTTTAGGACATTGATATTAGGATGACTTTGTTGTAGAGTGCATCTGCATAAAATGTACTAAACCTAATCACAAGCAATGATAAATACAGTAAAGCAAAGTTACGAACAAAATAAATGCGTTGTTTTTTTTTCTGGGAGTCTAAAAGTATTCTGGCGCACAAATTGAATAATTAAAAGTAAAATAATTACCACTGTATAATCTTCATTACATAAACTGCACATAAATACAATTAATGTTTCCTAAAGTTACTAAAATGTCCTGTGCCTGAATGCTTTAAACTGGCTTGAAATGCGTACACAGTTAAGGCTTTAAATCACATGCAAATTATACAATTTTTGGTAACTTTATGGTTAAACTTTGCAATTACTCCACAATCATGTGTTTTTTTTTTAAACTCCTGCTGATATATTGTGCACCCCTAATGTGTGTGTGTGTGTGTGTGTGTGTGTGTGTGTGTGTGTGTGTGTGTGTGTGGTGACGACATATCAGGACACAAATCTGTTTAATGACATAGGTAAGACATGGGTATTACAAAAAGGAGGTGAAATATGAGGACATTGGTGACGTCCTCGTTTCTCACAATGCTTTTAAATCCTACAGAATGAGTTTAATCAGAGAGTAAAGCTGGACACAGTCTCCTGTGATGGTTGGGTTTAGGGGTGGGGTGAGGGCAATACAATATACGGTTTGGACAGTGTAAAATGAATGAAAACCTATGTAATGTCCCCACTTTTCACAAAAACAAACGCGTGTGTGAGAGAGAGAGAGGAAGAAAGACAGAAAATGGCAATTGGTCCAAATAACAAACATTTTTTTGCGAGGTCTTTCGCCCCAAATATTGACATCTCAATCTCTGAAGAACTAAAATGATACTGTGTTGTCTAAAAATAAATATTAAACATAATGTGGCATCCAATATGGCATCTTTTGTTATTTTGACCAATTGAAACGATTATGTGAATCCAAAAATCAAACAAAAAGTGCTCAGGGGTAGCTTAAATAATGTGTCGATGCTCTTTGGGTAAGGGATTTATCAGAATAAACTGCAAAAGCAAGTCCAAGGCACTCAAAAACTGTCGAAATAATATTAAAAAGTCTTTATTGACATGGATATTCATTAAAACTGCTCCTACGTGTGTCAGCAAACACTTGCACTTGAGAAATGTGTTGTATTGCACGTGTTGTAAAAAAATAAATGATGAAGAAGAAGAAGAGAAGAGAACCCAGTCCAGGAGACTTGGAACAAGCAGAACTCCATTATTGAGACATGTTGGTTAATCTGCAGTCAAACAGCGTCTTTAAGAAGTCCATTTGTTTGCAGTAGCTTACTGGCGGTCTGCAGTCTGCGAGTTTGATCACAAGTCTGAATTAAGACAGGGATGTCCTGTCTGTGTTGTGTTCTTAGGAGGAGGGGAGATGCCTAAACAAAGCATGCAAATTCAGTTTTGGAGTCGGCAGGGTAAATTGCCTTTTCAGGCCTGACCTCATCAGCATGTTAGTCTGCAGAGTGGATGAAAACAGTGTGCAAATGATGTTCTAGAGACAGAAAACGTGTGACCAGTTGACCGACTTGAGAAGACAATAGACACAGCCGTGCTGTGAAACTGACAATTTGCATTAATTTGTAGAAAGTCAGGGCTCAGAAAGTCTGTCAAACCCTAAAAACAACTTTTCAGTTATAAATAGATAATATAAATTTATATTCACACACTCATGTTTTTTTGCATTTTATTCATTCAGTTTTTTCCCCCTCTCAATGCTGCATGAATAATGATTGTCGAGTTGACCTTGTGTTCAATATATTATTTCAGTATTGTTTAGATTAGGGGTGTCCAAACTCAGTCCTGGAGGGCCGGTGTCCTGGATAATTGAGCTGCAACCCTAATCAAACTGGCAGGTGTGTTGAAGCAAGTTGGAGCTAAACTCAGGAGAGCACCGGCCCTCCAGGACCGAGTTTGGACGCCCTTGGTTTAGATATTCTAATGATTCATGAGACCATAGTGTTCAAAAGAAACTCCAGACGCACCTGATCTCCCTTACACTGATAAAGGAAAGTGTTTGCTGACACATGTAGGCGCAGTTTTAAGGAATAGTCATGTCAATTAGGGCTTTTAGTATTTTTGTCACATTTTTAGAGTGCCTTGAACTTACATTTGCCGTTTATACTGAAATTATGTGTTTGAGTAAAACATTATCTTAATTTGTTTTGTTAAAATTCTTCAAATTGTTCATAGTGTTTTTTTTTTTCTTGTTCGATCACACTTTTTACACCAGATAAATAAGATCCAGTCCCAGATGCCAGATCTTGTCAGGAAATGTCAGTTTCTCCAGGTATTTGGACACGTTAGCAGAGTTTCCAATACCCAAATCTGTTAACCAGTATTTAACTGAATTAATAATCTATCATTATAGGAGTTGACTGAGAAAGCTAGAGAGGAGCAGAAGTAGGAGACAAGGTCATGATGATAAAGAGCAGTTTATTGAAGAATCTTAGATAAATCCAACAAGTGTTTTTACACCACAAGCAACAGCAATGGAAAACTTCACAACATTGTCCAGATTTCGCAGTGATTGGTTGCAGCTGGAAGGTCATCCGCTGTGCAAAAAAAAAAGGCTGGATAAGTTGGCGGTTCATTCCACAGTGGTGACCTCAGATTAATAAAGGGACTAAGCCGAAGGAAAATGAATGAACATTGTGCAAAGACAATACAGACCTTGAAATGGAGACATTCTCTTATTTCTTCCTCAGGAAAACACGTGTTGCTTGAATCCACACAGTCATAAGATTACAGCAATATGGAAAAATTAAATAGGAAAATATTAATAATAAAATAATAAAACATAATAAAATTAATTAATTCATTTTCTTTTTGGCTTAGTCCCTTTACCAATATGGGGTCGCCACAGCGGAATGAACTGCCAACTTATCTAGCATATGTTTTATGCAGCGGATGCCCTTACAGCTGCAACCCATTATTGAGAAACAGTCATACTCACTCATATACACATACACTACGGACAATTTAGCTTACCCAATTCATCTACAGCACATGTCTTTGGACTGTGGGGGAAACTGGAGCACCCGGAGGAAACCCACGCCAACACGGGAAGAACATGCAAATTCCACACAGAAACGCCAACTGACCCAGCCGAGGCTCGAACCAGCAACCTCTTTGCTATAAGGCGACAGCGCTACCCACTGCATAATAAAATTACAAATAATAATCAAATCATGTATCTGTGGAATTATTTTGGGAGTATCATAACTAAAACCTTAATATGTAAAACAAAAAATAATATCTTTTTAACTTTTACTTAATGTTTAAAGTGCAAAACCAATTAGATTCACTTTATTACGTAAACAAAGCAAGTCTCTCATATAATATCTTCACTAAAGAACTGCATTGCAAACAAATTATATAAATATTTACACATTAGTCAATAATATTATAGTAATTAATTTAAAAACTGAATAAATGTAGATTTACACACATTTCCTCAAGTATTATGATGGGCTAAAAATCTGCGGAAAATCTGTGGAATTCTGCGCCCGCAGATTCTGTGTGGGCCTACTAATAATCAATAAAATATGATAATTATATAAACAACATATGATTAAATAAAATAATTAAATGAAGAATAAATGAATGTAAACAAATAAAACCCAAAACAAAAGAATAGTTGCTTTTCCTGAAGCAACACATAAGTTTGCTACAAGGATTCTCAGATAGTTAGATTCTTCATCCTCTCAAAATATCAAAAAGATGCCATAAATTCATGTCTATGCTCATTTTAGACAATACAATATTTTGTCTATGTTTTTTTTTTTTTTTTTTGTAGTTTTGAACCTGTGCTTAATAATTCCAGCACATTCAGGGGGAAAACGTTTTCACATGGTTTCTTAATCTTAATACCAAACGCTTTACATTAAAGAATGTAAAAAATATATCCTTTATGATCTTCTTCTTTTTTATTTATTTATTTTTATTGAATGCTTGAAAAACAATAACAACAAATGTCATGAATCAAACAACATTCCAGGGGTTAGTCCAAGATAAGTGCCCTTCAAAGTCCCTCATCAAAGTCCTTGTTCGTATTGCTTTTAAGTTGGTTCATCCCTCAATACACTAAAATACATTTTCATTTCAATTTTAAATTCAGGGAAAAAATGTTTACACTTACAAAACTTGCTCTTGTGAATATAAAATTTGTCCAACAAAAAAAAACAAGGTTCATGAAATAAGTCTTATTTTCCTTTTCACATTTATGGAAACCAAAGATAACATTCTTATATGTAAATTCAAAATCTGCCTTCACATAAACTTTTATCAAATCAAGAACATCACATCAAAATGCAATTAAATGAGGGAAATTCCAAAATAATCCTTTACCATCTTCCCAAATATGAAATAAACGTCAAATGTCGTAAGCAGCTCGACCTTTTACACGACAATGAAATCAAATCAAAAGGTCGTAGAGTTTGTTCACACCGGAAGTAGCCTGTGATTTGTTGCCTGCTCGGTGATCACGTGACACGCGCTCTCCCCAGAGAACACTTCCGGTAACGTTTCCTGTGTTTGTAAACTGAAGAAAAAAAAAATTGTCCGACAAGAAAATATTGGGCTACAATAAAAGACGAAGAGTAAGGTAAAACAACTACTCGCTCCCCCCCAGCACTGCTTTTACTAAACCTATAAGCTCATTTAAGAACACACTCACGGGTTAAATAGCTCTCAATGTGGAGTTTAATAGACGACGAACTCACGCCCTGTTGTGATGTGGATGAATGGAGGAGTTTACGTTAGTATCATGTTTACACTTCAGACTCAAGAACTACGAATTTATCTCAGATATTAACATTATGAATGTCTAATTACACGAACTTTATCGCTTTAAACACGCGTAGGCTTGATCCAAGTGCCTCAGACCCAAATAACGCCACCATGTTTCATTTCTTAGTATAAATGTTTCCATATATGGCTGTGCTATGCGATTCAGCGCGCGGTGTCATTATTATATGCGATTCAGTCATACATTTTTATTTTTAATTAGTATTTTTAGAGTCAATTACTGCTCACACTCATAACAGTGTATATTTTTAAAAATACATATTTATAATGGCGACACGGTGGCTCAGTGGTTACGTTAGCACTGTTGCCTCGCAGCAAGAAGGTCGCTGGTTCAAGTCCCGGCTTGGTCAGTTGGCATTTCTGTGTGGAGTTTGCATGTTCTTCCCGTGTTAGCGTGGGTTTCCTCCGGGTGCTCCGTTTTCCCCCACAGTCCAAAGACATGCGCTATAGGTAAATTGGATGAACTAAATTGGCCGTAGTGTGAATTGACGTGTGTAAACGTGAGAATAAATGGATGTTTCCCAGTACTGGGTTGCAGCTGGATGAGCATCTGCTGTGTAAAATGAATGCTGGATAAGTTGGCGGTTCATTCTGCTGTGGCGTCCCCTGATGAATAAAGGGAATAAACTGAAAGAAAATGAATAAATGGATATTTGTAATGCTAAAGTATTGTACTTTTAAGTTATTTGAAAGCAAATGTGTTTATGGAAGGACATTTGTACATAGATGTTACATTTAAATAACAATAGTGGATATATTTCATTTATTAGTTATGGATTTTACTGCTAAGAGGAGATAAAGGTAAAACTTTATTTTTATTAACAATGCTGGAACAATAACAGAAAGGCATTAATACTCTAAAATTACGCAAAAGACTGAGATAAGTCAATTGATATTCACAATCTTTCCATCCTCATGAATAATTATAACACATCAACATGTATAAATAAATAAAATATCTGAAATTAGCAAATAAAATAAATGATTAAGAAAAATGCATAGCAGGGGAGTTGAAGTTATCAAAATATGAAACTAAAATCTTCTAGTGATGAATATAAATATCTTTCTTTTTGGCTTTTCATCTCTCTTAAAGTCTTTAAAATAGATCACAAATTCTTTTTTAAAAACCGATAGTCTTAGGGGAATTTTGAAAAATGCACATTTATGAATTTAAAATGTTAATAATAACAACAAATTATTTATTATATAAGATATCTTTTTATCCTGAAGTATTAAGCTAAACTTAATGATTTCACCTTTAAAAAGATAAGTCTTACAGATATTTTCTGTTGCATTCAAACTAGTAGTTTGTCCCAAAATGTTTGCACCAAATTGCATTGAAAAACAAGTGTTCAATTGTTTCAATATTTAAATTACAAAACTGGCATACATTTAAGTCACCAATATTGAATTTTAAAGGTAATACTTTAAATACAAGAACATTAAAAAATGGTTCAAACCTGCAAAATATCCAGATACTTTTTTTCCTCACAGGAAATAATAACAAATGTTTTATTGATTGTAGCTATATGACGGTATCAAAATATCTTGATGCGATAATTGATAAAAGGGGACAGTCAACCAAAAAAATATAATTCTGTCTCAATTTCCTTTCTCAATTGTTTCAAACCATTATAAGTGTTTTTCTTCAGTTGAACACAATAGAAGATATTTTGAAGAAAGCTGGAAACCTGTAACTATTGACTTCCATAGTATTCATATCGTAGTATTTATAGCAAAGATGCCCAAAGTAGGGTTTGCGGGCCAAATGTGGCCCATTGTAATCTTTGATTTGGCCTACCATCCCATCTTAGAAGAGAGTGAGAATGATGGAGAGGGTTGGTGTGTTTTATCACTGAGCTGAAAAAAGCTAATTAAAATTAAATGCTTTAATTAAATGTAAGTGAATTAGATCATTTTAAATGTAAACACTGTCACTCGACGGACAGAGGACTATGCAGAAGACATCAGTGAGCAAATCAAGGCAAAAACTAGTGCAACTCTATTCTGTTATAAATGAGATTTGTTTTGTAGTAAGTTCATTATAAAATGTAAAATAAAAAAGACTACTGTATTAGTTAACATAAAGCAATGTTTTCTAGTTATCTTAAAATTTTCTTAATTAAATTTGCAAATTATCCATTTCAAACATATTTACAGCGGGCCCACTAGCCTCAATCAAGTTTTATTTTTAGCCCTTTATACGAAAAAGTTTGAGCACCCCTGATCTATAGTTTTCCTACTATGTTAGTCAATGCTTACAGGCTTTCGACTTTTTTCAAAATAGGTTTTCAGCAGAAGGAAGAAACTCATAAAGGTTTGGAAACACTTGAAGAACAGTAAATAGTGAGTAAATTGTCATTTTTGGTGAACCATTGCTTTAAGCTTTATCACAAAATACAGTATTATCACAATATTTACATACGTTACACAAAGGGCTTAGTTTCAAATCTTTCTTTTTTTATAAATCAAAGTAAACAAGTGTTTTAAACATTGAAATAGCAAAGTATTATAAGTACAGTAGGAAAGACTTTATTTAGTATTCGTTAGTGAAAAATTTTTGTTACAGAAATTATGTTGTTAGTTTAAAAAACTGAACTTTATTAGTTATCAGCTCGATTAATTAAAATAGCTATGACTTTTGATTTTCAAGAGCTAAATCTGTGTTCTTGTACCATACATAGTACAACGGTTTTAATATATTGACTAATGTGGCACAAAATATGATATTCATTGTAATAATTTCTGGGTCTGGTTAATGTTAGCTTTAATATGCACACATATAATGTGGTTTATAATAAGCACTCAAATTTAGAGACAGTTTGCTTTAATGCCCATAATTACAGCCCACTTGCATAGACACGGTTGAGTTGGTCTTATAAAGTTTGCTGTCTGTGTTTGTGTTAGATTGCTTTCTGTTTGCCGTGCGATAAGACTGATGCAATTTTATTTTCTTTCTCCTGGAATTAATTTCACCTTCAGGACCTCGTTGGTTGCCAGATCCCCCAACAAACCAAACAGTCACGCTGTGTTAATGTCAAATTGATCATTTCTTCATTTATCCATCTTCCGTGCCTCATTTGTGAATTATAATCATCTTCATCTTAGTGAGTTAGTCGGGCTAATGCTGTGGAATAAGCAGAAAAGGGGTGGTTAAAATAAATCAGTTTTTTTTTTTGTAGATATATTCCAGTAAATCCCAAAATCTGATCATCCAAATCCAAAATCAACAGGGCGTAAATGCTCGGATGTATTTCTACACTTTAAGTTTTGACAGAACCTATGAGAATCCTGGTTGGGTTTTGACTCGGTTTGTTTCCAGATGTCATTTAGGGACTCTTGACGCCTGGAAATGAAGCCCGAACTCTTATGGCTTTAAAACATGGGCCTATACGCCTACATAAACAAAGGCTTGGCGATGCCGGCATGGAAAATGTCTGATTGTAGCGAATAAAAGCAGTGATTTGTCCACAGATGACAGGTTCTGTTAGTGGTGGGCTGGATGTGTGGCAGCGTCAGACAGAGATGGATGTTACCCTGGCTTTCTGTTTCTAGGCTCGGGCCCCTGATGATTGGGGCTTGTGTGGTCTCTAAACATTGTCCCAGCCCAGAGCCCCAACACACACACACACACTCTCAGCACTGAGATGTCACACCATTCCAACAGCACAGTGCGAGATCACATGAAATGGGTCAGTGTGTTTTGTTTTTTATTTTACTCTCTTCTTCATTTGCATTTTCTTCACATTTGTTTGAGAAAGAAGATGTATGTTTTGTTTTTGCTTGATTTTTTTGTGTGTGTGTTAACTGTTTGAAATTCACTTTTACAGTCTGGAGTCTCTCTGTGACGCATAATGGCCACTGATTTTGTGCTAATCATGGGATGGACCACACAAAAATTATGCCAAGAACATATTTACATTTTGGAGAAAATTATCTCTTTTGGGATAGATTGTTATTTTTATTGAAATTATGAAATGCAGTTTTGTACATTAGAGTATTTTTTTTTAGCTATTTTAGGTGATAGATTTTTAATACTGCAATAAACAGAAATATTTCTGTACCAATGTATTGAGAATCAACTCAACATTATTCAGAAAAATGTGAATTTAGGGGGAAATTGTGAAAATAGAAATTCAGAAATAGTCTATATTATCAGAAAGACAATAGTGTAAAAATATTAATATTTATTAAAAAAATATGAATATACTATAAATAAATGTGAGATTACATGCTAATTTTATCCTTGCCATGAAAAAAATTAAGTTTTCTCCAAATTATCGAAACCGTTTTTTTTTTTGTGTAAGCGAGTATTTAACAGTACTTTAAAATTACTCAAAAATATCTCTGTCATTGTTTTCAAATTATTATATTCGATTTACTGAATTCACACAAGTGCCAAATTTACATCTCTCACATTCATAACAGAGATTTTTGTCAAATAAAATAAAAGAAATCATTTTTGTTCTATAGTAAGCCGACTTCTATCTTTTTAATTAGCATTATTTCTTTTGGGTTGTGCAGTTTAATTCACAGAATTTCTACAATGTTATTTCTACTATCTTGTAAACTGTAAACTTCCATACTTTTTTGGACACATCCATAACGCATGTTTATTTTCCTCATTTAAAAAATAAAACATGTTTACAGATTAATATTTTTCTGATCCCTTAACTTATTGATCAGTTGTTTTAGAAAATATAAACAGATGTTTCAATATAATCTTAACATATACTTTCTATGTGAGTTTATGTTTTGAGACCTTCCTGCAAATGTCATGTCCATAATGCTAGATTTGCTTATACATTAATTTTATATTTCTGCAAAACCCTTTGCTGTACAATAGTAATTAATCACTTTAGTAAATAATTGAAATAAAATATGAGCTATATATATATATATATATATATATATATATATATATATATATATATATATATTAATGTTTGAATTCTCCTAATTAAACACAATTATTAATAATAATAATAATAATAGAGCTACATATCCCTTTACTTGATCTTTCATTTATACAAAAACTATTTACAGAAGGAGGAGTAGACATAATATTAATAAATAGACATGAAACTTAAGGGTTTATAACAGAAACTCATTAGGTTGAATAGGAGTTTTACTCAATCCATTTGGACCAAAAGCCAACAAATACTGTATATATATTTTAATTATTCATTTTCTCTGTAATAAATCTAATTTTAAAAATGTTAAACTTGTCATTAAAAAACTAAACGTTTATGTTAAAAAAAAAAGTGTAAACAACTAGAGTTTTCTTGTTTTGACACATGAAAATATGTGGCTAGAAAATAACTACATTTGTTTTTTGTGGCCTAACTGGGCCATCATCAAAAATCTTTAGTGTTTAGCCATGTATAAGTCTTAAATTTAATTTATACTGGTCTTAAAAGAGTATTAAAAAGTCTTAAATTTGACTTGATGAAACCTGCAGAAACCCAGATTAATATCAATGCCAATAATAATAAAATGCTAATATGATGAAATTAAAGTCATATAAATACCATATATACAGTGCTCAACATGTATAAGTACACCCCCCACAAATCTCTCATTTAGGTTAATAGTTTCTACAGGAAGCTTTACAATATTATATTTGTGAATAAACATTAGATTAGTCAGTGCTGAAGCCAAATCTAGAGCTTATGTAACAACATCATTTTCAAAATGGGGTGTACTTTATTATGCTGAGCACTGTTTATATATGTGTGTGTATGAAGTATTGTTAATGGTTGTATTATGAAAATAATAATAAAGAAATATACTAATAAAAAATCACTCCACTATACTGGTCCCATTTGGTTTGTTTTCAAATTTCAAGCTTGGTAAACTGTAGCAGCATACCACTTGAGTGACAGGGGCACTGTTACTGTATTCTTCATGGATGTGTGTGTTTGTGTTTGTGTTTGTGCTCAGGCTGGGTTGCTGGGCTGTGAAGCAGTGCTGTCCAGCATGGCACTCATGCAGGCCGGCTCAATGCCCAGCCATAGGAAGATGAGAGAAAGCAACCACAACCAGGACACACACAGCCAACACACACACATGGTGCTGCCCTCTGGAGTCAGCTGTCCACCACTGGTAAGAGAAAAAGCACACGCATTCTGAAAGCAAGTCATAATGGTTTGGAATGAAGTTTTGGGTGAACTCTTCATTTAAATCGTCCTTGCAATCCTGTGGCTGATGCTAAGGTCATGGGTTCAGATTATGGAGAATGCTGATCAAAAATATATGTAAGAGCAATGTCAAGTTGCTAGACTTTAGTTATTATAGGTTATAAGGGTACTGGAGATGCTATCAGTGTGTAGAGATCAGGACAAAATTATTCAGGGTATATACAGGATTCAGAGAGGGAAATTTAATACATTTTAAGACCTTTTTAAAAACTATAAATACATCTTAAAACTCATCGCCTCTTTAGGTTTCAACTGTTAACATTGGCAATATTTTAACTTGCAGTATATTTACCAAATACTGATTGTAAGAAACTAAAACATTATTCATTTGCTGAAAAAAATGCAAATCCAGCAGGGGTGCCCTTAGAAATAACGATGTTGCTTTGGTCGTTTTGTCAAATCTAGCAGGATTTTATCGATTTCATAAACTTTGTAGCATCCCACTATTCGCAGATTAACTGCTAGCATACAACTATACATTGTATAATCAAACATTATACAATATTTCAAACCTTGCAACTCAGCATTTAAGACTTTTTAATGCTTTTTAAAGGGTCTTGAATTTCTTTAAATAATTTAACAACTTTTATTACGTTTTAAGACCCTGCGAACACCTTGATATTAGCCCTTTTGTGTGAAATTTTTATTGTTCTTTAACTATTTCCCAGGTAATGTTTAACAGCTTTTTTTTTTTTAAATAGTATTTTCTATTATGTTTTTCTTCTGTAAAAAGTGTCTTTATGTTTTGCTGGAATAAATAATATAAAAAAACTGCTAAAGTCAATAATATTAGTCGTTTAGGAAATATTTTTTTATTAAAATATAATATATATTGTGTTCATGGCAAAGTCAAAAGTAATTACTTATTTGAAATTAGTTCATAAAAATGTAATAAGATTAAATGTCTCTCCTTTAAACAGCACTTTGACAAATATTAGAAAAATAAAGAAAATTTCACAGCAAAACTAAACATTTTCTTTTCAATCATGAAGTAAAATGATTGCTCTATTTCTGTTTATATTCTGTTTATATTATATGTTATATTCTGTTAATATTTCAAAGACGAATGTTATCATTTACTGCATTTATTTGTAGAAAATGACAGTAGATGTGTATAAAATATTATGTTTTCAAATGTAAATATAGAAAAAAACATGTACAAAAACTCGTTTTCTTTTAGTGTTTAAGTTCTGAAATGTTCCTTTAGCTTAGTACCTTTATTCATCAAAGGTCGCCACAGCAGAATGAACCACCAACTTATCCAGCATATGTTTTACACAGCGGATACCCTTCCAGCTGCTACCCAGTACTGGAAAACACCCATATACTCCCACATTCACACACATACACCACTGCCAATTTAGCGTATTCAATTCACCTAGGGCGCATATCTTTGAACTGTGGGGGAAACCGGAGCACCCGGAGGAAACCCACGCGAACACGGGGAGAAGATGCAAACTCCACACAGAAATGCCAACTGGCCTAACCGGGACTTGAACTAGCAACCTCCTTGCTGTGAGGCGATTGTGTCACCCTTATTTATTCATATTGACCTTATAAATATTCTTATTTGAAACTTTGAAGGCACAATGTCAGCATTTTCTAAAACTGAAGCTGACAACTCAAATTTTTTGGCGCCGATTGCAGCTCTCAAGATCTGAGACTTTAGCTTTTAGCCACTCATTGTCCTTCTGGAGCCTCGAACACGTAGCATCGAGTTGATCGAGCTGTTGACAAATCTCTGTAGTGCTGAACTTGAGATTACTGAAGCGAAGATCGTGATCAGTCATCCTTTCGAAAAATGTTTTGAAAGTCTTCTGCAATCAAGGCTCTAAAATCGTCATATAACACACTTATCTTGGATAACGCAATGCTAGCACCCGGCGAAAGAGAACCTACTCTTTTTCTATCGGCTTATCTGCTATTTCCTTTTGACATTTCAAAAGAAAATGAAGTCACAGAACAGTAGATAAACAGATAAAGTCAGGTACCAACAAAAGCACAGAGGTTAAAAGACGTAACTGAAATTGATCCCTAAAATTGATCTTAAACACAAATGTTACTCCGAACACATATCTATTAATGGCAAATCAGGTAAATCAATAATAAGTTTGAAGTGGTCTCCAGAGCTGTTTTAATGATCCTGACTATTTCAACATGGATAATCATAATACTAATACATGTTTCTGAAATAATAATTCACTGTAGGGATGACCAGTCTGTCAGATGAAGAATAGCTAGAGTCAGAGATTCAAATAAATAAATGAAGTTTACTGAAGATAGTTTGCAGTTTCATCAGCAGAAGTCAGCGTCAACATTCGCAATGAGTTCCTAGGCCACTCTGACTTACAGTACAGCATTGCAGCAATTATACTCTTTACACACGTCCAGAAAAGGTGGGATCCAGGTAAACAGTTCTCATTGGTTACATCAAAAATAGACAATTCTAAATGTGTGCGTCAATGAAGTTTTGTATCCCGCTCCAGATATGGATGGCCTAAATGTGTGCATCAAGGAAGAATTGTATCTAACTCCAGATATGGATGGCGGCATGGTTCTTGGGGGTCAGGCCCTAAGCTATTAAGAGCTGATCTCGGACCTGTAAAAAGCTAAACCATGAACGCAGTAGACACAAGAGACAATCTGTTGTGGAAACTCAAGGTTGTTTTTTTGTGCATTCAGCTGTCTTATCAAACTGGTTCCAGACTGGTTTCATCAACATTCGGCTACAATATCCTCACTACACACAATGTCTATCTAAAACAAAAAGGAAATACTTTAAAAAGAATTAACAACCAAAACAGCTATATTACTATAGACTAGAGGTCACCAATCTCGGTCCAGGAGGACCGGTGTCCCTGCAGGGTTTAGCTCCAACTTGCCTCAACACACCTGCCAGGATGTTTTAAGTATACCTAGTAAGACCTTGATTAGCTTGTTCAGGTGTGTTTGATTGGGGTTGGAGGTAAAATCTGCAGGACACCGGCCCTCCAGGAACAAGTTTGGTGACCACTGCTACAGACAATATGCATGACAAATAGAAACATGTGTTTTCCCCCTCCTCAGCATCAGTAATTCCATTCAGGGAGAGAGAGAGAGAGAGGTCTCCATGACCTATGACCTGGTTTTTGTGTGTCCCCTGAAAACAAAGTTAAAATAGACAGGCAAAGACAGGAGCAAGGACACTGAACATTCCTACATAAAGCAGTGTGTTAATTATTCATTGGTTCAAATCAATTTCAAAGTTAAATACTCATTCAAATAATCAGATAATTATATTTAATAAAAATAATGAGGAACAGGATGATGAGAAAAGGATAATCATTAATGCATGCTGAGACGGATTGGAAGGTATAAATCCAAATCCTTCATCACCATATTAGAATGGATCACTAATGTGTGGAGTGAAAATGTGAACATTTAGCATTGCCATTACAGCCTATTATGAATGAGTATTACATTAAACAATTATTCATATAGAAATAATGTTTTCTCATCATTACGGTATTATTTATCAAATAGTTGCAATCTTGGTGAGCACAAGAATTATAATTTGGGTGTGTATTAAAATTCTAGAGACAGGAATAGTTTTTATAGAAATACTTCTGAAACAGATTAAAGCTAGGAAAACACTTTAGTTTAAGGAAAAATTCGCACTATTAACTACTGCCTTATTACCGACCTATTATTAAGATATTAGCTGTTAATTATAAGGCTGCACAATATATCGATTCAGCATTGATATCACAATGTGTGCGTCCGCAATCGTCACATCAGGATATGCAATGTTGCGTTTGTATGATAATTGATCAGCACCACAGTCCAGAGTGCATGAGATTTGTAGAGTTACAATACTGCAAAGTTTCACCAAAACAAAGTGAAAGTTTATCGACTGCATGTTTAAAAGGCATTCAGGCCCAAAAAAAGAACAAGATTTGGAACTTTAATATGCAGTAATTTGACTGAATTATTAATAAAATTAAGTTTATTGTCATGGCAATTTCAAATAAATACTGATCTAATCTAGAGACAAAGTCTTACAAGGTTTACTTCCAAAAAGATTTTATTCTTTATAAAGAAAAGGTCTGACAGTCATACAGGAACAGCGGTTGCTGCAGAGTGCCACCCACAGGCTAGCCAGATACCAGGTTTTATCTTCTTTCCAGTGCTTCAAGGCCCACTTCGTCACAGTTGACACCCAGTTCTCTTTATAGCAGTGGTTCATAAACTGTGGTACCTGTACCACTAGTGGTACATGGGCTTCCTTCTAGTGGTACATGGAGGAATCAAATATGTCCTATGTACCTGCTACATATATTTAAAAAATTATCAAAAATGATTTATATATCAATGTGATGACATATAGGCTATACTTAAGCGGTTCAAGCAACATCTCCAGGTTTGGATGAATAGGCTACTATATGTTAATACTTTACATTTAAGTACAGCAGTTTTTTTTTTTTTTACTTTTTAAGAGCAGTAGCCTACCATTTTAAACTTTTAAAAGCACATTTCAATTGAAACGTTGATGTTTAGTTTGTTTGTTTGTTTGTTTTTCACATACAATTTAAGTAATAATTATTCGTCCTTTTTTGAAGTTGTTTGTCTTTTTTAAATATTTCCCAAGTGATGTTTAACAGAGCAAGGACATTTTCACAGTATGTCTGATAATATTTTGAAATTTGTTGAAAAAAATCTTCTCTCCGTTAAACAGAAATTGGTGAAAAATAAACAGGAGGGCTAATAATTCAGGGGGCTAATAATTCTGACTTCAACTGTATATGCACAGTACAGTATTAATGTTCAAAGTATTTATAATGTATAAAGTGGCAGACAATAATAAATATTCTTAATAATAGGAATTAATCTGCCACGTTTTGGAACTGTACAGAGCTGTAGCTTCTTTACTGGGCCTACTACACTAATGTATTTCAATACTGCTCATTATGGTGGTACTTGCAGAGACAATTTTTTTCTGAGGTGGTACTTGGTGAATTTAAAAGCAGATGACCACCTTCTGCATGACCCTTCTTGTAATATTTGTTTTGTATCATCTTTAGGAAGACATATTTTTCCTTATATAGGATGTTTCTAGTAAATAAGAGTTTATAGAAATCAATGGTTTAGTAACAATTCAAATAATTTTTTTTACCACAATTATACTGTTCTTTTACATTAAATAATTACATTTTTGTACCTGAATACTGCTTGACTTTCCAGAAAAGCAGAAATCTGTTTGTTTTTATTTTTTTCTTTGTCCTACTGTATTTATTTTGCTTTCAATTTGTTTATTATTGTTCATCCACGATTCACTCCCCTACAAAATCACCACCATCAGTCTAAATTCAAGAATTCTTTCCAAAATGGGTAAGAAACCACCTTGTGAACTTGTATTTATATCACAAAATATTGCAGAAAAACAAAATATTGCAATGTCTAATTGTTTCAATATAGTGCAAACCTAGTTTATTAGCATTTATAATGTATGATCTGGGCGTCACGGTAGCGCAGTGGGTAGCACTCACAGCAAGAAGGTCGCTGGTTTGAGCCCCGGCTGGGTCAGTTGGCATTTCTGTGTGGAGTTTGCATGTTCTCCGTGTTGGTGTGGGTTTCCTCCAGGTGATCCGGTGTGTCTAAACGCATGCAGTATAGGTGAATTGAATAAACTAAACTGCACGTAATGTATGTGAATGCAAGAGTGTATGGGTGTTTTCCAGTGTTGGGTTGCAGCTGAAAGGGCATCCGCTGCGTAAAGCATATGCTGGATAAGTTGGTGGTTCATTCTGCTGGGGCGACCACAGATTAATAAAGGGACTAAGCTGAAAAGAAAATGAATAAATGAACAAATTTTTGATCTTAATTCTACATCCCGAATTCCCACCTAATACCTAAACCCAACTACTACATTGCTAACTATTAATAATAAGCAGCTAATTATTAGTTTGTTGAGCTAAAATTCTTGGTCAATGGATTGTTGATAGCATAAATTGTAAGTTGTAAATTGTGTAACAAACCTAGATTTAGGGTAAACGTTTACATCAGTAACCTTAAAATCTTCCACAATGATCGGCATTCAAACTCTAAATGACTTAAGGGTGTGTTTTCTCAACAGCTCATCCGCAAAGACCGAGAGTTTCACTCGTCCAGGCTTTTGGATGAAAAGGATGTGCAAATCAGCCAGAACGTGCAGCCAAAGAAGAAGAACAGGAAGTCTGGACTTCCCACCAGAATGAGAGAGAAACCCCAGGCATGCATTGAAGTATGTCCTGCATTTCTGCCTGTTTCTCCCATTTGCGTTCGTCTGCTTGTATTCCTACACTAACACAATGCTCTTTTCATGTAGGTGGAGATTCCTGACGATCATGATGATCACTCGCTCGGCTCTCAAGTGCAGAAGAATTTCATATGCGAGCACTGCTATAGTGCTTTCCGCAGTAGTTACCATCTCAAACGTCACATTCTCACTCATACGGGTACGACATTAGACTTGATGCTTATATCAGCTTACTATTCATACATTAAGTTAATGTGTGTTTATGTCTGCTTGTGTGTTTTAGGGGAAAAGCCATTTGGTTGTGATATGTGTGATATGAGGTTTATCCAGCGCTACCACCTGGAGAGACACAAGCGTGTTCACAGCGGTGAGAAGCCTTATCAGTGTGACCGGTGCCAACAGGTGAGATGTAAAAAATGCATGTGCTTTCAGACACAGAGAACTTGTGATTTGCTTAATACATTTATGAACGTACGTCATTGGCGCTATAGACCTGTCTGTTAGCATTTTGAATCAAAATGGGAGCTTAAAGAGATACCCAACAATTTTAATTCTGTCTTAATTCACTCACCCTTGACTCGTTCCAAACCAGTTTGAGTTTTGTTTGTTTGTTCTGTTTAACACAACAGTAGATGTTTTGAAAAATGTTTAACTTTTATAGTAGGAAAAAACTAACACTATGGAAGTCAATGGTTACAGCTTTCCAAAAATCTACTTTTGCATTTAACGAAACAGAAACACTCAAACTGGTTTGTAAAAAGTCAAGGGTGAGTAAATTATGAGAGAATTTATTCGCTTGTCGTGATGTATCGAATACTGTTTCCGGGTCCAAGCCGCTACTTATTTTAGTCATATTTCACATTAAAGTGAAATTGATATGAAATCATGGTGTACACAACAGTCTCTGGACTTGCTGCATGACAGACACTAATATTTAAACAATTTATAAAACAATTAATCATTTTCTGTCCATCTGATATTAAGCATGTATATAAATATTGCAATTGTGATTTTGGAAAGTATTACAACGCTTTGTAAAGGTTTATTTTTACCATTTGTTGATTCTCCCCATACAGTTTAATATAGCGATTAAGCCTCATTTTCAATGCACGCGACAAGCGACAGACCGGAAGTCATTCATTTACAATAAAGAGTAGTCCGGTAGCTGCATGGAGTTCCGATCATCTCCATATGCGGAAAATTCGGATCTGAATTGAGCTGCGGATTCGTTGAAATATTTGAACTCCTGCAACTAGACCGTATGCGACCAGCTGACTGGATGTGATGTATTCCAGTGTTGTTCAAGTAGGTCCGTGTGCGCGAGATGAGAAATAGAACTTTACTTGGTTATTTTTTTTAAATCATAAAAAGTCTATATTAAAAAAAACATTTCTCTTCGTAAATGTAAGTAATAAAGTAATAAAAATATATATTTTTATGTTGTCTTCACATTCCCTCTAATTTTTTTAAAGGTCTGAGTTTCTAGTATTCATTCAACCACGGAGAACTGCTTTTGCACTCCTTTATTTCGGACACTGCGAGAACAGATTCTCTCCCATGCTGCACCTCAGAACTAAAAATTCTGTGCGACTGCCACAAGGGGGCATATTCCGACAATTGTGTCCAAATATCGTTTGCTGTGGAAAGGCGGCTTTAGACCTGGAAGCCTCTTTGTGTGACGTCACACTTAACAAGCGGATTTTTTGGGTGCACTATTACTTTATCATTATTGAGGCTGCAGCAAATGATTTTTACCCATTTTACAATGTGATGAATTTTAAAGTAAAACAGCAGATAATATATTCTTTTGTTCACAATGAGTTGATTTGATTGAGAAAATGAGTTATTTTGCATGAATGGAGTAAGGTGGTTGAAGGAGAAGAGTTGAAATAATAAGAAAACATTTCAAAAGTTGAAGTTGAAGACATTATTTTCATTTGGAGATGACATGTATTGATCATTGTTTGCAATATGACCTCAAAAGTTTATTGATTAAATAAACAAGGTAGGTTTTAATTTCACATTAATAGTGTGTTCATCTTATGTGATTTCTGTCATTGAGATATTGGCATATTATTAACAAATCTGTCCTAAAGCATCGTCTTTTATTAATGATTATTTCTGAAAGACTTTCACCATTTGAAATGCATATATTTTTATTAAATATTAATGCATAAAACTGACCCAAACTAAAGGGTCAAGACATTTAAAATGATACTTTGGTAAAAACATGCTGAAAAATGTATCACAGTTTCAGCAAAATAGTACAAAATCCTACTGACCCTTTCTTGAAAAGTTTACATTAATACAAGTAACAAATAATCACAGAATTCACAACTTAAAAAGCATTTAACTTGCATTTATGGGCTTTTGCAAAACACTGGCATTCAAAAAAATCAATTGAAGGCATGTCCGAAAGTCCCATTTCATTAAAACGTGCATCTTCCCTCCTCAAAAATGAGACTAACTCCGAACCCCCTTCTGTCACACAGAACTTTTCCAGAACCGACCGGTTACTGCGGCATCGACGTTTGTGTGCTGTGGGCGTCCCTAAAGAGGAGAACCAGCCGTGCTGTGAGGGACGGTCGTATTCTCAGGACCCGTCCCAGCACGCGGCATCGTGGAGCCCACTGCAGACAAACAACAGCAGGCTGGCGGTGTGACAGTCTGTTCAATCACTCGTAGCAAATACAATGGACTCCAACATGACCCGACCTGGGGTCTGAGCCTATAAACTGTTTAAAGACTCCAGCACTGCCCCAGTGGACTCTTTTTATACCGGCTAGATTCTGGAAAATAGCGTATTTTTTATTTTAGATGGTACTGTGATGAGCGAACGGGTTAGTTGTGCATTCAGTCCAGGCAAATAATGGCATCTGGTAGTTTAGAATTAGTTCATTCTGTAGCTCCTGTGCAGAACTGTAGATTGTCGTGATTATCTCGATGCTCAGCGAACCTTTGCATATAACATCAAATTTGATGAAAGGATAGGTCAATTATGAGAATAGTCCAAAAGAGAAAATTCTGTCATTATTTACTCACCTGATCTCATTTCAAACCTGTTTGAGTTTCTTGCTATTGTTGAATGTTGGAAACCAAATGCCATTGACTATGAAAATCAATGTCAACAACAATGCTGGGTTGTTGCAACCCATTACTTGGTCAAATATAAACAAACATAACTATTAGGTCAATAAGTGCAATTTAAATTCAATTGGGAAAATTGGGTTACAACAATCATTGGCATTTTTCTAAAAGTCCACTTTTGTGTTTTGCAAACAAAAAGTGCAACTCGTTAATGGTTCAACCACTTGAGAGTGAGTAAATGGGGAGTATAGTTTTATTTTTGGTTGAACTATTTCTTAAAGGGCAAACCTGGAGTTTCACATGTGATTTGGTCATGCAAATTTGTTCCAAAACAATAGAGAATTCTGCCCTATATATTGTTTTACACAACTTTTGATAATAGATCAACTTTTTTTTAGCCCCCCCAAATATCACTGAATATATAGTCACAGAACCTTTACGATATGAATCTGCGAACGACTAGAGTTGTTGCACGTGGCCTTTTTAATCTGAGAAATTAGCTTAGTGACAATAGATACATTGTGAATTTAGTAGTTTTCCCAACGTGCACATGAATCAATTCCTGTTTTATGAGGAGTAAATTCTCAATAAAGAAATACTTCACCCTAAAATAAAACTATAGCTCATCATTATGGTGAATATGTGCTGTCAAACTTTAAACAGCTGATAAATATAATCCACACTGCTCTGATCCATCATTGTGAAGGGTTACGCTACACATTTGTAATAAATAAATTAATCATTAAGATGACTTAAAATGGTTGCTTCTGGGCTGAAATATAGCTGCTTTTCCACTATCAGGCCGAACGGTTCTGTTTGCTTAACCATACCATTCCTTGCGGATCTGGTCCAATCAGCACTGAAATGCTTTCAAATTCCACTGTAATGATTAAATGGAGCTAGCTTAAATTTAATACAAATGGGTCAGTTGCTGCCTTGGGTAATGAAAGTGTAATGTAAACATGGATATGGACGAAGAGCTCATATTTCTGTTTTTTTTTTGTTTGTTTGTTTTTTTTTACTTAAATTTACTTGTTGTTCTTATTGTTAAATAACAGTAAAAAAAAAAGTGCTCTTCTGCCTAGCCAGATATGGAGAAACTCCAGTGCAGTTCAGCATGATTATCTAACCATGCCTAGATTTCCAGCCCAAGATTTATAGTCTGCACCAATAATCTGCAAATAGCACTGAGGTGTTCACGGCGACCCGAGTTTGATTCTGGATCGAGGTCCAATAATCTCTACTGTTTTGTCAAAAAAAGGTTAAAAATCCCTAAAAATATTATAAAAAATGTTTGTAATTGTGTCTACATTACTAGGGTTACGTGGAAGCACAACTGAAACCTAACCTGACTGATCATAGGATGGTTTAGTATAATGAGCGGCTTACGAGAGCTCTTAATATGGCTTTCTCTAGTGAAAAAGTTGGCATTTGCATCAGGTTAGAAATATATGAAAGTCCATTTCTAAACGGCAAATTTTAAATTCCATTTTAAGAAAAAGTTAGACATGTCATTCATTGAGGAAGCAGAGACTGGGGATGCTGGGGTGGACTCACCTATCACCCAAGCTGAAGTCACTGAGGTTGTTTGCAAGCTCCGCCGTGGCAAAGCAGTGGGGGTGGATGAGATTCACTCCGTGTATCTTAGGTCTCTGAATATTGTGGGGCTGTTTTGGCTGTCAAGTCTCTACAATCACATGGAGGTCTGGGACAGTACTTCTGGATTGGGCAAATGGGCGGTGGTTCCCATTTTTAAGAAGGGGGACCGGAGGGTGTGCTCCAACAATAGGGGGATCACGCTCATCAGCCTCTCTGGGAAAGTCTATGCCAGGGTACTAGAGAAGAGGATCAGGCCGATGGTTGAACCTAGTATTCAGGAGTAACAATGCGTTTTTAGTCCAGGCCGTGGTACACTGGACCAGCTCTATACCCTCACCAGGGTGCTCGAGGGTGAATGGAAGTATGCCCAACCAGTCCACATGTGTTTTGTGGGCTTGGGGAAGGCATTCGACTGTATCCCTCGTGGCATTCTGTGGAGTGTGCTCTGGGAGTATGGGGTCAGATGCGCTCTGATAAGGGCTGTCTCGTTCATGTGTGAACAGAGAAGGAGTTTGGTTCGCATTGCCGGCAATAAGTCAGACTTGTTTCCAGTGCATGTTGAACTCCGCCAGGGCTGCCTTTTGTCATCAGTTCTGTTAATAATTTTTATTGACAGAATTTCAAAGCACAGCCTTGGGTTGGAGGGGGTCCAGTTTGGGTACCACAAGATCTCATTTCTGTTATGAGCAGATGATGTCGTTCTGTTGGCTTCATTGAACATGGACCTTCAGCTTGCACTGGGGCGGATTGCTGCCAAGTGTGATGCGGCTGGGATGAGAATCAGCACCTCTAAGTCCAAGGCCATGGTGCTCCACCAGAAAAAGTTGGTTTGCCACCTCCAGGTTGGAGGTAAGTCCTTACCCCAGACAGAGGAGTTTAAGTGTCTTGGGGTTTTGGTTATGAGTGAGGGAATAATGGGACGTGAGATTTACAGGCGGATTGGTGCAGCGGCAGCAGTAATGCAGTCAATGTACCGCCTGTTGTGGTAAAGAAGGAGCTGAGCCGAAAGGCAAACTTCTTGATTTACTGGTCAATATACGTTCCTACTTTTACCTATGGTCATGAGCTTTGGGTCCAAAAGGACAAGACCTTGGATACAAGTGGCCGAAATGAGTTTCCTTTGCAGGGTGGCAGGATGCACCCTTATAGATAGGGTTAGGAGCTCTGTCACCCGGAAGGAGCTCAGAGTAGAGCCACAGCTCCTCCACATCGAGAGAAGTATGCTGAGGTGGCTCAGGCATCTGTTGCGGATGCCTCCTGGACGCCTTCCTAGGGAGGTGTTCCAGGCATGGCTGGAGGGACTATGTCTCTCAGCTGGACTGGGAATGCCTCGGGATCCCACCAGGGGAGCTGGAGAAAGTGTCTGGGAGAGGAAAGTCTGGGGTTCTCTCTTAAGACTGCTGCCCCGCGACCCAGCCCAGGAAAAGTGGTTGAGAATGAATGAAAAAGTTAGATAACGTCCCGCATTTTTGAATATTTTTTTTTTTGTTTACATTTTGTAACTTTCACTTTTATTTCCTCAGAATTGTGATTATTTATTTTAGTTGCATACTTAAAGGCTTTTTTGCAATTCTGAGTTTATATCTTGGAACTCTGAAACTGAGTTTTTATATTCAGTTTTAAGTTTTTATTTAATAGAAATATGCATAAAAAAAGTCAAACTGCAAGGTGTAAACATGGAGTTGATCAAATTAGGGCAGGATTATGAGTTCATATAAAGTTTACATGTCACGGTTCTTGAATTTAATTGAAATATTAAAAGAAATAAAGCCTGACCGGTGAGATATTAAACTATGTATTGGCAGAAAGCATGTAAATGAGCAATTGCAAGATGAACAGTAGGTTTGAAACTCAGAATTGTGGAATATAAACTTGATTTTGTGAATGTTCATAATTAAATGTAAATAAATAAACATATATATATAAAAATCAATATACAAATTTTGGCCCTGTAAGCGCGAACATTTCCAAACACTTCTGAATGTCGGATTTTAATGTAAGAGCTCAACATGCCTGGACTTTTTCACTGGAGTAAAGCATTATTATGGGTTATTGATTTTTCATATTTTGCTGTTAAATGAGCTTAAAATGAAACTCCTAAATCCTAAATTTTCACTTGGCAATGTGTTATATATGGACTGGAGTCACGTGTATTGCAGATTATTGTGATGTTTTTATCAGCCATTTATACTGTCATTCTGATGGCCTCAGGGTGAACACATTTTCAGCAAATAAAACATTTTGGGTGAACTATTCCTTTAAACTCTGTGAGAATGGCTCGTGGCCATTGACAGTTTTACACATGCTTTTTACGGTTTTAGCGGAAACATCTGGAGCGACATCCATCCTCCGTCCACAGGAGAGCTCTTTTTTTTTGTGAGCTACATTATGGTGTCAAGCTTTTGAAGTTGGCCTTTTGGTCAACATGAACTCTGACTTCTCATCGCTATTAGAGTATAACTGACAAATCTGGTCACAGTATGATGTGACTCTTACGGTAAGTCTCTGTTTCTCTTCTGAAGTCACTGGATCGATCAAGCCAAGAATAACAAGGAAAACCTTTTAACAGGTTGTACAGTACAAAGAGAGACAGATGTTTATATATAAAAGGTTAGAGTTTTTTGCAAAAGGTCTTGTTACGTTTCGTACCTCGTAAACCTCGGCCCTTGAACATGGACTTCTGGCACGGTTCGAGCTTGAGTTAATATATTTTTCCCAATGTTTCAGATTATTTAACTAGAAAGCATAGTATTAGAGTGCTACCACTGTCTGACTGTATTTTTTTACCTGTATATTTGCATGATCCTTTTGTTAAACGCATATCATAAAGGTTCTTGTATTGTAAGTAGAAATACACTTTTTTTTTAGTAAGGAATTTGTTCCGTATTTTTTTTTTTTTTTTTACTAATCTTTAACACAATTAATTGTTATCCTGGTAGGACACTATTTAGTAAAGCCCAAACTTAAAATTCATAACAATTATTTAAAAAAACATACAAACAAAAACATGATAAAGCGTACAGGCTTTTTAAATGTATATTTATTTTTACTAATTTCTGGTATCAAAGTAGTAGAGGGTACACCAGCTGTTCCCAACAAGGGGGTCTCGGCCCACAAGGGGCCCCCAGCAAGCTCTGTGGGGAATCGCGTCATATTTAAAAAATAAATAAAAATTAGCAGTGTACATGTTGCCTCAGTTAATTTTATCCCCTGATTGACCAAAAAACTGACAAATTTGTAATTCGTCCTCCACAAAAAAGACAAATAGTCTTCAGCAGCTACTAGTAATAATGACCCAGGTGAGGAAGCTCCAAACATTTTGGGTTACAGCACTAGCAATACTGGAAACACGAAATACAATAAATACTATGATAGTTACCTGAACTTTGGTTATTCCATATTCTCAAAGCAGAGTCCCTGACCCAGCCACAGTGCATTATCTGCGCCAAAGTTCTTGCTAACAAAGCATGAGGTCGCCCAAATTATAAAGACATTTGGAGATGACTCATCTCTAATACCTCAAGGTGCACCCAATACAAATGTCCTACTGATGTTTTGCTTTTATATTTTTCATTGGGCTATTATTTGTGCATAAACTAAAATCTAGATCAGGGGTGCTCAATCCTGTTCCTGGAGAGCTACCTTCCTGCAGATTTCAGTTGCTACCCATATCAAACACACCTGCCTGTAATTATCAAGTGGTGTTCAGGTCCTAATTAATTGGTTCAGGTGTGTTTGATATGAGTAGCAACTGAAATCTGCAGGAAGGTAGCTCTCCAGGAACAGGACTGAGCACCCCTGATCTAGATATAGTAATAAACATACCATTTGTTTGAAAAACAAATTTTTTTTGTCATACCTACTGCAAACTAATATGAGCAATAATATCATTAAATGTGGCCCCCTTACAATATTTTAAAGGGGGTCTCAGACAAAAAAAAAGGTTGGGAACCACTGGTTTACACTGTAAAAACAAATCTTTTAGATAACAGACTCCATAATTTGTGATCCACAGGTTTTTTTCCTGCTTATTTACTATAGTCAGTGTTGAGGAAAGTTAATTTGGAAAGTAATGCAGTACAATATTGAGTTACTCCCTCAAAAAGTAACTTGAGTTACTTTTTATGGAAAGTAATGTGTTATGTTACT